AGATTTTGTAAAATTCTTCATGCACAAGGCAGTATATGCCCAGCAGGAGAAATCGTACAACAATCTGCATGGTACAAATCTCTGTTGAAATTTGCAGCAGCATATGTCTGTAGTACAGGTAGGTTACATAATTTGGAGAGGATATACAGTAAATATATACTGTAATCAATGTATTGTGTATGGCTATATGGTGCTGATAGCGTGTTTCTTATACTGTATATAGAACAAAAAACATGGAATTCATTGATGGCATGAGCCATACTAATGTTTTATACGCGATAGTTTTCTTCAAGAAATTTGACTGCTCCCGCTATAGTTAGATATATTGACTTCGCTGATGGTAGAAGTTATATATACACGAGAATAATAAAGGTATACACTGATGGTACAGTCGTGTGCTGCGCGCAGCAGTATTGCAAACACTTGTAACGATGACAAACTGGTATAAAATCAATCATAACATGAGGCAAATAAACGCTGTGAAAACCCGGCGAAATAAAATTCGAATCTGGTTTGGTTCACTTGATAAAAATGTCAATACGCATTTTCTGCTCGAAAGCGGCTCTGCATATTGGAATTCTTGTTTTCATTGTTCGATCAAGTACTCCATTGAAGGGCTTCCGGATTTGAACACTGCTGACGATGAAGGTCGAAATCTGAGCTGCCACTGTAAAATGCTTGGGCGTGAAAATGCGCCTGAAGCAGATAATCTCTGCAAAGGGATTATAAAGACGCATTTCAAGTGTGATATTCCCGGCCTCGATGCAGTTTCCAACATCACCTCTGTGCGTATGTATTATTGATGAGGGTCATCGTAATATGTATTAAACGTGGGGTTTATTCCTTCATATCAAAAAACATCACGCACCAGCTAATATTCCAACTTCTTTAATTCCAGAAACTAAAAAAGGTCATCAAAAATTTATGGGATTGAATGTTGATGTCATTTTAATTAACATAATACTGTGCATCCTGCAGTAACAAGAATACTCAGCAGACATGCTGGTTATGGTTTAATAATGGCCATTATTCCATTTATTTTTCATTATTTTGTAGTCCTAAAGTAATTATGTATAATATAATTTGAATGAAACTTGAAAATTTTTTTCTTTTCAACTCTTCTTTTTTCTGACCCATAACAATGGGAGACATTCATGAGATGACTTGCAATCATTTGAATGATGCAATGTAGGGCAACTTTTCAGTGTCCAAATACAGTGCAGTATAACTGCAATGCTACTTTTAGTATTATACCAGCATCTATATATTGAAACCTCTTCTAAGTTACTTTTGTAACTTCTATCAATCAATGAACAGCAGCTTTATGCATCACAGTAGCCAATTTTTCCTGCAACTACTGTATATATTTTGTACGGATTAATTTTCTTGGATGCTCCCTGGAACTTTTAAAAATATGTATAATTTTTTTTCATCATGATGATATGACTCATATAGGGTTACGCAAGATGGGTTTATAACATTTGGAACTTGAATTTTGTCAGAAAAAGGTTATATAATACAGTACTGTAAATACTTTTGAGTGATATATCAAAACAAATATGATGCAGTAGGGCTTATTTTCATATAATTTCCAACTCATTATTTCAACCAATTAATAGCGTAAATAAGGAAAAATTGAAAATAAAAAATAAAGTCATTTCCTTATGTTTATCCCGCGCCCCAGCTTAAAATGTTGAACAATTACTGTATATACTGTACTGATCCCAACAAAGCACCTTATCAGAAAAAGTTTCAAGATGTATATGTAATTCACTGTACATTATTTGCTATAGTAACAGCTATAGGGTCTTGAAATGCGGTAATAAATGACAAACAAGGAATGAGGACCACAGTACAATACTGTAAGAAAGTGTCCTCTAGCACTAGCTCTGCCATGTTGGTTACTTCACCTCTCCCACCTTAACACTGCATCCCGCTGAACACTGCTGCTCTTGGTTTGCGGTATTGAAGGTGTGGTTCGTATTCCTGACGAAGAGTTACAGATGTGGGGAGAAATTGCGACATGTGTACGGCTTCGTGAGAAATCATGAATCAGAGAATCTGATTCGATGAAACGATCACGTGACAGCCTCTTGCGCTCAGCATTCGAATAGAACGAACGTGTTCTGAAATCCTGGTTCCAGTGTTCGAAATTTATCCCCGCAAAATTGTTTGTGAGACTCTCGTTTTACGTTTGAAATCTATGCAATTCATGTCGATTTTTTTTTCGAGTGAAAATATGCTCCTGCTGGTGTATGATAGTCGATTCAATGGAGCGCAGTGGAAACGCTCGATCCTTTCTAATTATGAGCAAGGATTTTACGTGGCTTGTGATCCGTTACTGATTCCGAGTTGATCACGTGCAGGAAAGGGAAGAAACGATGGGGCCAGTGAAATTTTTGTCGGAATTGAGCGGCTTAATTCGACAGAATCTTTGAATTGCTATTAGCGATTCGTTATTTTGGCGACACCAGGATCAGCAAGTATGCCGAGTTCCGCGAGTCGAACCTATGCTAGAGCGAGTGTAAATCGAACATTGTTGATCGTCAACTGATGGCGTCTATGGCGTCAAATTGGTCCTGTTGATACTCCTGTTGAATGTCTGCGAGTTCTTTCGCTCTTCAGAAATGACTTATAGGTCACATTTCCTACGTTGAAGTACCGTATAGTTGTTGGTGTATTGAAATCACACTTGAAAATAATGGAATCACTCCAAGTACATTTTTTAATAAGCAGGTTATACGCCTTTTTTTCATTTGATCTGCCATTTTTCAAGTAAATTTATGAAATATTGCATTCGTTGTAAAGAATAAATTACTTTCTCCCCCTCATTGTATTTAATACGGTATTGTACTGTGATTTTAAAAACAGTCAGGAGTCCATCCCGAATGAGGTTCTAATTAGGTAATTGCTTCTTGCTCGCTGACCAAAATTGCTTGTCTAATTGCACGCGTTGATGTTTATGAACTCTTTCAATTACCGATACCATCAAATGACATATATTCGAAGTTTGACTGTATTGTACTGTATAATAAAATAAGTTCACTAGCCGTACACTGCATAGGTTCATCATTCGTCACAAGTGTTGGTATCTGATCGAATTAACGTTGGAAGCATATGGTCAATTCGAAGTAATGTTCATAATTTAGGAATACTGTGCAGTGCAATGGAGGAGAAAACCTGGAGATTCTAGCATTTTAAAAACAATCAATGAGGATGAAATAAAGTCAATGTGTTGTACAATATATGATACTGTACATGTAAAGTTGTCCTTGAATAAAAATTTCATATCCATGGTTTGTCATGAAGACACCCTTTGGGACAGTACGCAAATACGAATTTTGTTGGCTTGGGTAAATTGATCGGATTACATTAGCTTGTTCTGCTGGAGATTAAGGTAATCTTAGGTGGCTAGCTAGTTTTAGATTTTCAACTTCACATCTCAGTTTGTAAGTTACTGAACAGGATTCTGACGTTAGGAAACGTGTAGAATTGCGTAGTGCAATAAAGTGCGCCTTACAAATGCTCTTGAGTGACCTGGTTTTGTCTCACCAAACTTATGCAGGTGGACCTTGATAACTCAAACCCAAGTACTTCGTGGAATTTTTTCGGACCCTTTCTGAATCTCCTTCATAAAATGTATAAAAACCTCTCTTAACTCGAAGAATTCCTCCTCCAACCTCCATAAATATAATTTGTGGATGCCTTTTGGGTTGTATTCTGGTTATTCAGGATATTATAAACACACAAAAAATTTAACTTGATGCCGTTCAAAAATAAAAGACTGAAAGCAAACCCCCATTAGAACCGCCTCCGAGTTCTGCATCCTTTCAAACTCATTTATTCTGCAGTTTAAGACCCAAATGATGAAACATTTTGGTTCCCTGCGATTCTTTTGATTGATATTCAGCAAAAACAAAGCTATTTCTCTAGCTGGTAACCTCTCTGAGCTGAATTATTTCCTGGTTTCTTGGTGTTCGACTTGAGAGTCTCGGCCGTAGTTTGAAGGAATGGAATATACGTTTGTGGGCATCAAAACAGTCTTTTTGCCCTTGGGATCCAATGAAAACGTATAAATGGGGTTGTGTCAAAATTTCTTGCATGCAAAGCCTTCCATATTGGGAAAACATATTGGGAGGATATGCATTTTCATTATTTAATTGGATTCGTAATTTTGATGAACAAAGAGGTACAATATGCAACAGTATGAGAAAGGATTTTTGGAAACGTTCAGTTAGACACGTTTTCCAAGTATGATGATTGCAGGTTGATTTAAAAGTGCGAATTGCCTGTAACCCGACCGATTAACTAATTTCCCCGGCGAAAATTCGACCGCCTAATAGAGTTTGAAAACCAACCTATCATCCTAGTCTTATTCAACTTGTGATGTGTACAAGGGAAAGTCTTGTATTCCTGACATTGTTCTGAGATATAAACCATGGAATGCGATGTTCAATATCACACGCTGGATTGAAACCACGACCATTAGGACTGTGGAGCCCATTTTAAAATAAATTCACGTGGCGGAGCTCTTGATTTTTTGGCCCAGCCTCTTGCAACTTCTCAGTGTTTTAAATTATTACCTTGAGCTTCAGCAAATGAACATACGCTTCTGCCCTTCATACTGCATTTCGGACCTGTAGGTTTGTCTTGCAAAAAATTAATCTTTTGGAGCAGCCGCGAAGCACAGGTTGAGATCCTCTGAACAAAGAATTTGAATCATTGTTTGAGGATAATGAAGTCGAAGTTAGCAAATAAGTGTATTCGTGGATTCCATTTGCGAACGTGTATTTCAGGAAGATTAGATAGCTCCGCTTGTGGATCTAGTAAAATTCACCATTGTATTGAGACACTTACATTCCGAGATAAGCTAAGCCTGAGGATGTATCGTATTTCTTTGATCAACCTATGCATGAATTTCTTCCTGCGTGTTCATGGGGGAATTTCTGAGTCTTGAAAAAAAAAAACCGTGAGTTTCATTTCTTTATTCTCCGTTGCTTAGAAATTTTCCAGAAGACGCAAACGTAAACGTGGCACTTCTCACAAGGACCTCTTTCTGTTGGCGATGTTTCGATAATCCTACGTTATTCGCGTATTGATCCGCTGCCTTAGCAACCCGAGCAAGAAACAATTCCGCCGCGTTTCTCCGGAACGTGTCGGTGTTCTGAGCGATAGCTGTGTCACACACCAGCGTTGCATCGTGAAGCTTGGGTCTGTTTAGCTTTTGAAGTGTGATAAAATGGCTCAAAAAGTTGTGAGTAAACCGTGGGGTCAGCAAGGCCATGCCGGCGTTAGTTTCGAAGGAAGCCAGGAAAATCTGTACCGAGTTGGTCCTCATCAGTACCTACATGTCCTGGATTTGACCACGAATGTTACGAGGCTTGAAACTGGACCACAGACTTACATGCGGAAAGACAATGAGAGGTCAGTTGTTGGTGGTTGATTTGTGGCGTCTTGAGTCGTTTTTTAATGACGTGTAACTTCAGGATTGTTCTGGGACCATGTCAGATGATCATTGTTCCTCCGAGACATTTCTGTATCATTGAAAATCCCGCGCAGAGGGGAGAAGAAAACCACGTCTTATTAGATTCGTGGGGTCAAGCCAAATTGCAACATGCCGAATTGGAGGTGAGTCACAGTTCACTAGATGATTCGTTTGCTTATTAAATCAAGGTTATTTTTAGCTATGATCAAACTTTTCCGAAGCCCTTCACAGATGTTTCTGTTAACACAGAGGAGTTCAAGTTTCGTGTAAAACCGCAGTCACGCGAATAGAAGCACCTCTTAAATATAAGAACCCCCTGCCCCTATATGTTTCATACACAAAATAAGAATTCCATTATTATTCGAATGTAAGCTTCTACTTATTTTCCCGACTTTTTTACTTTTCAGGAACCTAAAATTTCTGCCTAAATTTCGGTTTCCCCAGAACAGGAAAAACGGTGTCACACAACCCTTGCTCTTCCCTTTCAGTCGATGACTCTTGCACCTTGATCGTGCTTGCTGTAAAAGCTGACCATTTGTTGTATTTTCAACTTCAATTTCAAAATAACTTGAGAAAAGGAATGCTCGATCTTTTTCGTGGCCCGAAAACAAGATTTCCTGATACTGTACACTTGTAGACGCATAATTTTTCAAATTTCGTATATGTGCGAATGTAAGCACCACCGTATTTTTTGAGCTTTTATAAATGGTACTTTTATTCGCGTAAATCTTTTGAATCAGTTTTTTGAAATGGTATGCGATGAATATGCTGTAACTGACTTTTCCCCCGTTCAATCTGCGTATACAGTATCGTGTCGGATTGTATGTATTCGCCTTTTAGAATGGTTGAGCAGCAGGTCGACTTCAGTTTTTCGGTTTTTACTGGTGAAATGTGCACACTCTCAGTCATACAAGCAAACATTTTCACTTGACCCTCGTGGCAATTATCAAGAAATAGTTCGAAATTGAAACTGCTGAGACGTTTTAAGAATCAGGAATACTGTAAATCAGATCTAGCCCTAGTCCAGATGAGGTTCAGCTTCATGATTCAAGCACCATTCCACCGTAACACTTTATGTATGAAATAACGTAATTTTTTTCTGTATACTGAAATGATTCAGAAATTCGTGTAAACCTGCTTGGGATCTCGGTGGGCGATTTATTTTCAACCGATTTTTGGTCTTTTAGAGTAAGTCCAATAAAGTGTTGTTTGTCCTAGATACGCTTGGAGCAAGACCCGTTTCCGTTGTACCCCGGAGAAATACTTTCCCTCAAAGTTACCCCCTTGACAGTGGTTGTGAAAGGTTCCGCCCTGAAACTCAGAGCCACAAGGGATTTTTTGGACGGTGGCGTTACGAGGATTGCCGGAGAGATGTGGCTGTTTGAAGGCCCTGGCGAGTTTACTTTGTAAATACAGTATCTGAGGGCTTTCTCTGAAATAACTGAATTTTTTTCAGGTACTTACATACCGCAAAAAGAAGTTGAAGTTGTGGAGGAAATCCAGGCGAAGGTCATAAAGGCCAATGAAGCATTGAAACTCCGTGCACTCATGGAGACCCGAGACCGAGATGGGAACGTTAGGGTTGCTGGAGAAGAATGGTTGGTAAAAAGGGTTGGAGCTTATTTGCCTGGTGTTCACGAGGAGGTGGTCGCTGTTGTCACGGCCTGGGTCCTTACTGAAACTGTAAGTTCATGTCCAGGGTACTGCGAACACGAGAAATTGTCTACAAATTCATTACAGAAAGCTATTCGCATAAAAGCAACGAGAACGTTTGTGGATCAGTTCAACAAGACGAGGAAAAACGGCGATGAATGGCTGGTGACACATTTGGACACGGAGACGTATATTCCTGGAGTTTACGAAGAAGTCAAAGGAGAAGTGGAAATAACTGTGCTCAGTAATCGTCAATACTGTGTTATTCTGAACCCTGTGGATGAAACGACTGGGAAGGTTCTGTGGGGACAAAAAAGGCTCATGAAGGTTGGTTGAATAATCTCTTGATCTCCTGAATGAATCCTCGAGAGTTCCTTTTGAAGGGTGAGAAATCATTCTTCTTGAGTCCCGAAGAACAACTGGAGCATGGGATCCAACATGTTCACGTCTTGGGCGAAGACCAAGGATTGATTCTAAGAGCTAATGAACTCTTCAGAGAGACTATCAAAGATCCAGATACAGGTGCAGAGAAAGTAATCGAACGTAAGCCTGGTGACAGATGGATGATCAGGGGGCCTTTGGAATACGTCCCACCTGTGGAAGTTGAAGTGGTTTCCAAAACGGAGACGATTCCTTTGGACGAGAATGAGGGCATCTATGTCAGGGATATCAGAACAGGCAAAGTAAGCGTTTTCTTTACCTTGAGTGATCATAATTTTGTAGGATATGTTGGTACTGTGTTAGGTGAGAGCTGTTGTTGGGCATACCTACTTATTGAACCAAAATGAGGAGCTTTGGAAGAAAGAATTGCCAGATGCTGTAGAAAAATTGCTTAGTCAGGGCAGAGACCCGCTTGCTGACAGGGGCACGAGAGGATCCGACAAAAGGTGACATTGCAATTGGAAATTATTTGCGAATGCCGTTTGCATTTCCAAGTACAATATTTTTCAGTGATTGTCAAGCGCCTCCGAGGGACAAAACAAGAGTCGTTTCATTTCGGGTCCCACACAATGCAGCTGTGCAGATTTACGACTATAAAGAGAAGAAAGCCAGGTAACCATCATTTTTTTCATGCAAATTTGTACGGTGAAATCTTGTTACAAAAAACTATGTATCAGATCTCCGAATAATCAATTGAATCTTGCTTATCTAGAATTCTCATTTTATTTTTTGAAAAAACAGTGATCTTCTGGAAGAAAAATTAGCTTCACTTCTGCATTTCATTAGTTCTAGAAGATCTCTTCATTCTTTTCATCCTGGGAAGATGATGGGTGGAACCACTTGTAAGCATGTTTCTCATTGATTATAGCTTCCATCCATGCTGCAAGAACCAGTCAATCACATTTGGGATCAGAAATTTCATTATGTGCCCGCTTTAGTCAGGAAATTTATACCTGGAGAATCTATTCAACATTCCTCAAAAAAATTTATTTTGAAATGGGAAGTGGGAAGTTTGGTCTAATGAGATTTTCTTAGCATGTACACTGCATGGACTTCTACTGGGACTTGAGAAAAAGTTTGCTATACTATGCCAACAAATTTGTAGTAGCGGTATTTAATTTAACAAGATTCTACTGGAGTATGGTGCATTATCAAGAGACGTGCTTTCGCAGGGTGATCTTTGGTCCGGATTTGGTCCTACTCGGCCCAGATGAGCAGTTCACTCAGTTGTCCTTGTCTGGTGGGAAACCGAAAAGACCAAACCAGATCAGAAGCTTGGCGTTGTTGTTGGGACCAGACTTCTGTGCTGACGTGATTGTTGTGGAAACTGCCGACCATGCGAGACTCAGTCTTTCTCTCGCTTACAACTGGCACTTCGACACAAGTGACAGGTCTGCGAAAGGTGCCGAAAAACTATTCTCTGTCCCTGATTTCGTCGGGGACACGTGTAAAACCATTGCATCTAGGGTCAGAGGAGCCGTGGCTGGTGTCAACTTTGACAACTTCCACAAGGTAAGATCCGTTGTAATTGTCCTGCTTATTTTCAGTGAATCCCATTCAAGTTTTTTTCCAGAATTCAGCGCAAGTCATTCGAGAAGCTGTATTCGGCTCAGACGAAACTACGAAGAAGATAAAAGACAAGCTAATTTTCCCTCAGACCGGCCTCACAGTCACCAGTGTGGACATCCAAAGCGTTGAACCAGTTGATCAAAGAACCAGGGATTCATTACAAAAGTCGGTTCAGCTTGCTATAGAGATCACCACCAACTCTCAGGAAGCTGCTGCTCGACATGAAGCGGAACGGCTTGAACAGGAAGCGAAAGGGAAGTTGGAAAGACAGAGGATCGTTGATGAAGCCGAGGCGGAGAAGAAAAACAAAGAGCTTCTGGAGTTGAAGGTTATGAATCATCTTGTTATGGATTGTGCTTATTTCAACCTTTTTGAGGACCAAACTCGAGTGATTGTTCAACTATGTCTTATACCTTAATTCTGTGCAGCTCATGCGTTATTGTAAGAACCCTCCCAAGATTTACGAAATTTTAGAATGACCGCAACTTTAGCGCTCATGAATGTCTCTATGCTGTCCTGCTCTGGTTGTGAAGAACATTAGCTAGACTGCTGTGAAATGCCGATTTCTGTTCCCATGAACAATATGACATTTCATTTTGCTCTGTGGCTACTCCAGGAAAAAATTGACTCAAATCTATGGTCACGTATTAGACTCAACGGAGACGTCTCATGCTCAAAAAAGAGAACTACTCCGTTACCCGAAGAAAAAATTGTCCCACTTTGAAACCATTTGTTTTTGACCCCATAGCATGTGCCTCAGGAGGTCCGTCATATGAATAATGAAAGGCCCCGTGAGTCTAAAATAGTCAAACCTCTTGACATTCAACTTCGAGGGATTATGAAAAAATTCGAGTTTCGGGAACAAGCATTTTTGTTGGGGGGAAAAGAAGAAGAATTACAGGAAAATGTAATTGATGATATTCTGGGCCTTAAATTGCTTCTTGAAATACAGTAGTTGATGGGATGTTGAAGTTGGAGGTAAGGGTTCATCTGCCCAACTAATCTTCCACTTCTTTTCAAAATGTTCATCAGGTTACATTTTTATTGTCTTTCTCTTTCCTGTGCCGATAAAAAAATAGCAAAAAACCTCCAGAAAATTCGTGATATCCATGGGAAGCTTGCGACTTATGGAGGTTTTCAATGCATTGCAATGCTGAGGTAATTTAGAAAGGGACTTCAAAAATTCGACATAATTAGGCATTCCACTTAGGGAGGTTTCGGTTGTCAAGGTTCAACTGTTTTGGGAATCGCTGTCTCGGGAATTTGATTGCTTTGCTCAATCCAACGTGATCTGGCAAATTAAATTCACAGGCTGCGTCAGCTGCTGTCGAATCCTGTGGCCAGGCGACAGCGGAAGCCAGAAGCCAAGCTGAAGCTGCCAGGATCCAAAGATCCGCAGAAGTCGAGCAAGCCAGACTGCGGGCTGAAGCTGGTAGCATTGACCTGGAGGCAGAGCTGGAGAAAATGAATAAAGCCAGGCGTTCGGAGTTGGATTACATTAAGGAGAAGAACACTTTGGAGCTTGCTAGAACGAGAGATCTGGCACAAATCGAAGTTGCTAAATTCAAGGAGATGGTAGATGCGATTGGGGCGTCCAACCTGACTGTCATGGCCTCAGCTGGGCCAGACCATCAAGTAAAGCCATTGTCACGTACAGTACTGTTTTTTTTGTCCAGTGAACTAATCATCTTTCATTTGTCTGCGAAAGGTAAGAATGCTGGAGGCATTGGGGCTAAAAGCTACCTTGATAACTGATGGAAGAACTCCAATCAACCTTCTCTCAACTGCACAAGGACTGTTGGGAGGATTCAATTCGGACTCTGAGCCGCAAGCCAAACGAAGCAGGGAATTTGCGACTTAATTTGTAATCGGTGACTATATACTGTATTCAGATTTATTATTCAAGCTTTAAAACAGAATTTATTCACGTCAATCACTAGACCGTGGCTTTCAAATATTGTGCGTACAGGAACACCTAACTGTGATCAGTTGTGCCTCTTTACCTCTATAGTTTCAAAAACTGGAAAGAATTTATTGTTACATCTTGATTGATTTGGTGCTGATACTGTGCTTACTGTACCTTGGTTATTTGTGGAAGTGCACTTCTTGTGAGTTATTTTGAATTTCGTCTTCAGTGATCGTTCGAGTGCTAGATGGGATTCTGTGAAGCAGAGAAATGAATTATTCTCAAACCATGTGCCGTATATCATTTCTTCACTTCAATTATCGAGTATTGGACTGTTGTGCGATGTACAGTAATTTTGTTCATAATATGACCGATTCCTGCACATGATGATTTATCCGGTTTATTTCTAATTTTCGTCGGAACGTACACTCATCTCTGCCTTAGTTTTGCGTGACAAAATGAAATTTGAGTTCTGGTAAATTTTGAGTTGTAACGGGTACTCTCGCTGTAACTAAATAATCAACACCAATTCACCCGAGATTCACGTGTACTGTATAGTCACGTACGGTCCGGTACGCTTCGTAACATGCATAATGCAGTACTGTATTGAAGGAAAAGCAGAAGGTTTGATGGGTAGAGGGCAGCAGCAATGCATGGCGGCTCCCTAACGATGTTGAGGTTTCACACCACCGAAGTCCCCAAGCTAGGTTGTTAGCGGTGACCAGACATTATGGTACACTTTCAAACTCAACGCAACTCATTTCCACGCTGCCCCTCCAGAGGGCTATTCCCTACCACTCCATCCCTCAACACCAAAAATGAGTGACTTCATGAACTGCGCATGCTTGCAGATACGAATTACATGTTGAAGAATTGTGTAGGAGTAGGAAGATAACGTAATATTCAATACAGTACTTTCCTGTTATCTCTGTACCTCATTCCTAGACTGCACTACCATCCAGACAAATCTTTAGGACAAGTTCATAATCACAAGAACCTACCAGAAACTGTGAATTTTATTTTCTGCATTCTGCTGAAACTGATCAGGTTATGTTAGTTACAAATATATTTTAATTAACATAACCTGACCTAACCTAACTTTACCTAACTGCCTCCTAAATATCAAATATCTTTAATTAACATAACCTGACCTAACCTAACTTTACCTAACCACCTCCCAAGTATCAAATATCTTTTAATTAACATAACCTGACCTAAACTAACTTTACCTAACCACCTCCCAAATATCTTTTAATTAACATAACCTGACCTAACCTAACTTTACCTAACCGCCTCCCAAAATCAGTTTCAGCAGAATGCAGAAAAATCAAATTCACATCTGTTGTGTATATGAATTTGTCATAAAGATTTGTCTGGATGGTATAGTATGGTCTAGAAATGAGGTACAGAGATAACAGGAAAGTACCATATATTTTATTTATTTAAAAAAGGTGTTTTTATATGTACACTATGTTATTTGTCCCTCAGAGTCTCTGTTTACATTTTACACTGCCAAAGCATTGCAGTTCAAGTCACTCAATGAGAGGCTGGCGCTCCTAGGGGTGGCGTGGAAGAGGTAGCGTTGAATGGACCTGCGTTGAGTGGAAGTTGTACCATAATGTCGTGTCACGGTGCTGGTGGCGTTGAAGAGTAGGCCCTGAATTGAGTTGCTCTTAGTAGAAGTTGTGCTGGAAGGGGGCATAAGGATGGATTTTGCAATTCTGCTGATCGCAGTGTAGTTCTAGAAACGTTAGCGTGATTTCAGAGCACAGTACAGTAATGCAGTTCCGTCATCCAATCGCGGAAGGAATTCTAAATTGTTCGAGTGATTGCGCGAATGCGCAGTTCCTGAGCGAAGGAAATCCCAATTTTATGTAAACGCGAATGCAGTGGATGGTTGGAATTGCAGCTTATTTCATTTATGTGTGAATTCTATACCGGTCTCGTGAAATGAAAAATTAAACCATCGCAGTGGTATTTCTATTTCGTGATGGCTGCACTCGAGCATTTCGTTCATAACGTTCGGACACTCTCCAGCCAAGGTATCGTACAGATCGCGGTTTTTATCTTTCTGACATTCACGCAAGTTGAACATGATTTCAGGAAATCTCAAGCAACTGACGGAGTATCTCGGGAAGTCTGCAGATTTGCTCTCGAAACACCAGTTGCAGTTAGATAGCGTTCTTCAAACGCTGGATTTACAGCAGCATTCTCTGGGAATCCTGGCTATCCTGTTGGTGAAATTCAACAGTGTCGCCGTTACATCGGACGCCTTCGAACCCCTGTTCGTTCAGTTTCACGAGTTCATTCTTGGCTGCAACGGTGAACAGATCCGGTTTGCTGCAGACTCATGTAAGTGTAGAACTTCATGCGCTTTTGTTATAATTTTTTTAGGTGCAACCATTACATCTTCTGCTCGTACTTTCATGGTATACTGTAGTTCGTATTATTTCTGAACCCCTTATTATTCAGTTGCAGAGCTATGTCACTTGTGCACTGAAGCTCTGACGGAACGAAGGAAGCCAGCGATGGGAATTCCTGCAATGAAGTCAGTGTGTTTTTCAAGCAATTGTTTTAGAGGATTAATTTTCATTTAATTTCAGGGAAGCGTTAATCAAGTTACAATCAAAAGAGTCGCAGTTGACTTCTATCCACTCTGATCTACTGAGGCTGTGTCTACTTGCGCGAAATTCCACTGCGCCGCTTCACTTACTGGAAATAGACATTGATGATATAAATCGTGAGGTATGAACACTGAAAACTTGTTCATAAAATTATTCGACCCACGCTCAATTAAAATATTTTACAGAACGGCCAGATGGATCCAAAGTACGTTCTATTGTATTATTATTACGGAGGAATGATCTACGCAACCCGCAAGAACTGGGAAAATGCCCTTTTCATGCTGTCAATGTGCATAACAACGCCTGCCATGGCTGTTTCACACATAATGTTGGAGGCCTACAAGAAGCATATGCTCATATCTCTTATCCATATGAAAAAGATTGTTCCGTTGCCGAAGTACACTTCAGGAGTGGTTAACCGTTTTTTCAAGCATCTTGCTCTTCCGTATCATGACCTCGCCACCGCATTTTCGCACAACGACTCAATCGAATTTGAGCAAGTGATGGCCCGACATTCGGATGCTTTTGTGAGGTTTGTAGACATTTTCGTTTGAGTTTCAGAGTTACTGTATTAATTTCTGTTCACTTATGTTACTGGCTTTATTTTTTAAAACTTCGTTTTGTTTCCTGACGCGAAGTCGCTATCTTTTCGGACAAATTCGGCCGAGTTAAACGTTGTTGCAAATATTCAGTGTGGCATAGTACAGTATCGCGATCTTGGTGAAATCGTGAACTTCAAAAATGTTAAATCAGTAAATTTTAAGTAAGTTTCGGGTTTCTTTTTGTATTGTAACTAGATAATGCAGTATTCAAGCGAGTATTTTCGTCGCCGATTTCCGAACGTCGTCAGTGACAATTATTTCATTATTTGGTTTTAGCAATTAATTTTTTGACTAACCATCACATTCCTTCTTCGGCTGATTTTTTTCTGTTCTCAATTTCAGATTAAAAAAAAATTCTATATCTCCCGGTTTGTGGATCACGCTGCTAACCTTTTTTTCATGTAAATCTTCAATTTTGGTAAACAATCTATTTCAGGGATCAGAACATGGGATTGGTAAAGCAATGCCTGAGCTCTCTTCACCGAAAGAACATCCAAAGGTTGACAATGACGTTTATGACGCTATCATTGGAGGACATGGCGAATCGTGTAAAGCTTTCTGGTCCTCAGGAAGCTGAACGATACGTGCTGGAAATGGTAAACACTTCCCCTGATAATTAAAGTACGATTCATGACGATAAAATCACTACTGTTGAGGAAGGATTGTTGAATTGCCACCTCGAACAGTAGTACAGTACTGTACTTTAAAAATGCAATGCATTTTCAGATAGAAGATGGTGATATATACGCAACAATTCACCCTGATGACGGCATGGTCGAATTTCAAACAAATCCTGAAAATTACGAAAGCATGTCGGTGTTGGAGCAGCTTAAGGCAGCAGTGAGTTGCTTTGTATTTTCTTTCCCATTTATGTCGATGACGAACATTTTTGCCTAGATTCGCCGCTTATCTTGAGCGCGGAATGAGAGTTAGCTGATAAGAGCTGATGCTGAGTTCAATTGTAAATTAGTTTTTAAAGCAATTTAGTTTCTGATCAGGCACATTTTTTGTTTTTACAGATGGAGGCGAGCATGCACTTGGAGAACAAAGTTCAAAAAATGAGCGATGAACTTTCTGTTAATCCCGAGTTCGTGAAGAAAATGTCGAGTTTGAGCCAGGAAGACGAAGGGACGTCTTGTGCGTCAGGTTCGTCGTCATCCACGTCCGTTCCGAATGCGCAACCAGCCAAAGCGTCGTCCGCTTTCGCTCCTCGACTCTAATTGATATTTTTTGGAAACGCCGATTTGTTTTTGTTAAAAAAAACCTTGTGTTCTGGGTCTATACAACTTTAATTCCTAGTTCGAGTGTAAGGATGAAATTGAAGTTGTAGGTGCAGTAAATTTTTATTTTATATTTGTTGATGAATGAATCGTGAGAGGCATTTGAGATGTTGTCAGTATTCAGCTTACAATCTTATGCGTCAAATATTTTGAAAACATCAATTAGAGCTTCGCGAACTTTGAGGGAATATTCCGGAGTGTTGTACCTTCAACTTTTATTTTACGATTGATTTTAAAGTTTAGAGACGGATTGATCGACAGTTTCCACTTATCTGATCATATCGATTATTCTATACTTCTGAAATGCCTCATTACGATGATCATTCAAGTTCCACACTGTGGTATTGTAATATCTGATGTAGTATCTCTTGAATGCTTACTATCAGTTAGTTATTATAGAATCTGAAGTGTGAAATGCGACATGGCGGATTCAGAGTTGAAAAGAGCTCTCACGTCATTCGACGATGACTTTGGCAATCATAGAGAGACCTCAAAAAGTGAGTTAGATTTCTTATACCTCTCCGCTTTAGAGTTCAGGGCACATTTTTTTTTACACAGACCGAGTATCGACATCGTCAGCTGGAAAAGGCACAGTCCGAGTCCCTCGTCAAGCCCAGAGTTAGTAATACGTGTTCATTTGCGGTCCAGAAATTAAGTATTGAACATTATTATTTTTTTTTTTCTCAGGGAAGGCAATTTGTTCGTTAGTGGAAGATCTGAGAAAATCTCGAGAAAAAGAAGAGAAAAAGAAAAAACTTGCGCATAAACGTTTGAAAGCTTTGGATCGTGGTATCAGGGTTTTGAAGCCTGATTTTGTTGCAAAGGTGAGTTCTACCTGTTGAATTATTTGATCTGGAATTAGCGGACTTGAAGAATGTAAAAAAGAGAAAAAAATAGTGATCCTACGTTGCCATGGTTCACACAATTTTTTGAGAAGTACTTTTTATTTCATTTTTCAATTGATGAAAAAATGTTGAAAATGTTTCAACTGTTTGACTTTTTTTTCAGGTCATTTCCACAGAACCACCAACGAAGCAACCATCAATAAAGCCGAAAGAAAGAGGAACCAGCACGTTTACGGACGAAGATTTTGAGAAGTTTGAGGAAGAATATTTTGTTCCCGGAAAATTTTGAAACGGAAATTAAAATTTTTCCGTTCGCAAATTCTAGATACAGTACTTTCTTCTAGCTTTATCAAAGATTTCATCTCTTTTCTGTCTTGAAATGCCGCCGATCGTGATCGGGATTGGCGGGTGTTCGTCGAGTGGCAAAACCACGCTTGCGTCTTGGCTAGCCCGTTGCTATAAAAAGCCTGTCGTGATCTCGTTAGATAAATTCTACCTCATGGAAGATAACCCGAAGTTAGAGAAAGTGATTCCGGAATTGAACATGTTCAACTACGATCACATTTCGGCGTTCGACGTTCGTGCTATTGTACGAGCTGTCAAAGACGCTATAAGAAAGGAATCCATCGATCTCGTTGTGGTGGAGGGAATCGTTGTGTTCGAGATTCCTTCGCTTCAAGACTTTTTTACTCGAAAGTGAGTGAATTTTACTGTATATTTATTCGATATCACGTGTGGCATACAATTTTGTGCTCTTTTAATGATGCTGTACCCGCAAACCTAGCAGAAATCTTGGCGTTGTTGTATTTTCAGGTATATTCCGTTTATGCATTTTCTTTCTACTCAAAATCACTAGAAACTATTGATTTAACGTAAAATCTCGAATTGTTTCAAGTTTTCAGTCGTTTTCTATGTGTTTTCTGCTTTTGACATTCTCTTTTAGGTCACCTTCTGTGGTGTAAAGAGATGTTCAATGACTTAAACGTATAATCAATAATTTGATTGAGTGTATTATTTTGAAATTTTTTTTACACCCTCATTTTTTGTGCGATCGTATTTCACACCTGTTTCTGTTGATCAGAATCGAAAAAAGTGCATCTTCCATTCTCATGAATACGGGAAAATTCTATGTGAGCTCGTGCTAAGGTAGTACGATGTACATTTTTCCAGGTATTTTCTGAAGCTTGATTCTGAGGAATTCAAAAGACGTCGAAAACTTCGGGTTTATCCAGGCGCACCAGACTGCGATAAATACGTGGAAAATTTTGTATGGCCTGGTTATCTGCACTTCCTCGATGGAGCCCAGAATCAGGAGAAGATGGTGTTTCTTGATTCGACTTACCTTACTTTGGAACAGATGTTCTCGATAATTAAGCGAGATCTGCCACAAGAATCACATTGAGTATTCTGTCGTGTAGCAGAAGACCCTCGATCAATGATTTCCTGCTTTAAATTTCAAGCTTTACGTTTTCAAGTTGATTAGATTGACATTCATTTCTCAAATGGAAATCAAATTCGGTTTAGGGCGCGTGATAGATGCGTCCAAAAGTTGCGTTTTCGGATCCAAAACGGTCTAGTTTCGATTTGAATAGTTTTTTTCAGTGGATCAGGCGTTATGTTGTGAAAATTTCCTATCTCAAAATTCGGAAACCATGTTTATCCGTTATCAAGTGCAATTGTGTGTCACTGTGTAACGCGTGGTTGATGAAAGAGGAAAAGATTTGTTAGGCCACGTGCATGTGTTCAATTGTGTCAAGGTTGCGTCGTTTAAACGATGTGTGGCAGTGAACTTGAAGCGCGTGTAGTTGAAAACGGAAACGCGTGCGAAAGTTTTTGAACTGCGTTAAGCTGCTTGGAATGTCACTCCTACTCGGCAGGACTCTAGAGTGTGGTTCGACTTGGTTTTGACGAGTATTAATCGTGTTCCGTACGTTTCTGACATGGAAGAGGAGAAGAAAAAGCCTGTACGAGTGTGGGTCGATGGCTGGTGAGTCTTAGTACCGTAATTATTATACCTGTACAAGAAAATAAATTCTTCGTTTATAAATTCTTCGTGCGGAGAATACAGCATTGAAAATATAATCTACCGATACATACGAAACTTCTATGCACTTCTATACGTTTTCCAAATGCCGAATCCATTTAGATGAACAGTCGCTTTTCTGTTTTCTCTGTGCCCTTCCAGGAAGGATGACCAATTCGGAAGATTCTGTCATGCTCAGTACTGATTTATTTCTTAAACCATTAAGATAGTGAATTGCCTGAGAAGATTTTATGGGATGTTGCAGGGGACTGGGAAGGAAATGAAAGAAAATTGCATCCGCACCAGCGATAATGAAATTGGTTGCTTCCGCAACCCACTGATCTGGGTCGTCTTGAATTTTCCCTGCGTCTGGTAGTGAAAAATTGGTTATATTACTGTTCAGGAAATGAGCAATACCAGTGTAAAATCATCAAAATATCCGTGAGAATTTTCAAGTCCCAGACACAAAATATGAACAAGATTTCCTTCTGGGTAGTGGCCTCTTCTCAGAAACAAATTTAAAAATGTTAGATTTTTTCGTTCTAAGAACAAGCGAACAACTTCAAAAATATTTCCTTGTAAAACGTTTTCATAGAATTTTGACCTACAATTATTTGTTTCTGCAGAAAAAAGGCATAGAAAACTGGAGAGAGCCTAGAAAAATCGTTGGAAAATTTAATTGGTTATAATTTTTGAAAAATGTGAAAATTTCACCACAGTGGAACATCATAGCTACACTTACGTTTCCTCAAAATAAATTTTAGAAAATCCATTTAAAAAGATGGCGGACCAAAATGGAGATAGCATAATAAATAATAAAAAAAAAACGATTTTCCTCTAAATAGTGAAAATTAAAAGTACTGTAATCGGTTCATTCTGGATAGGGGAACTAATTGCGCTTATTGTTTTCACGATCAAAATATTTAAAAAATAATTTTTAGACGTGCACGAAAGTAAACCTTTTTTTTTTCTCCGAAAAATCAACTTCGAAAATTGTCCCAAGGGAGACAAATCTACATTTTTATGCACTTCAGAAAATAATGCTGTTCATCACGCCTTTAACTGGGAAACAAAATTTTGACTTTACAAGGAATGTCAAGTCATAATATAAACGTCAACGTGAACCCTTGTAATGTGAATGGATATTTTTTGAAGCAATATCATTTTGCGACGTTTCTGCGTAATCGGCTCAGTGGGTTTACGTTTCTCTCAAATATTCCCGATAGAAGATGTTGCGTATTCCTGGAATTGTGCTATGGAAAAGCATAAAAATTCTCCGCCGATAAACTGCTTTACTTTTTTTGTGTAACACATGTTTCTTTCCCTCCGTAATTCTCGCATCAAGCTTTGACATGGTTCATTTCGGCCACGCAAATTTTCTACGCATTGCGAAATCAATGGGGGACTATTTGGTTGTTGGGGTTCACACGGACGAAGACATAACCTTACACAAAGGCCCTCCTGTGTTTGACCAAGAGGAACGTTACAAAATGGTTCGTGGAATCAAATGGGTGGACGAAGTGGTTCCTGGTGCTCCGTACGTCACATGTATTGAGACCTTGGACAAATACAACTGTGATTTCTGCGTGCATGGAGGTGGGTTCAGTCGGTCCATGAAACATTCATTAATAATGCAATTATTTTTGGCGAACTTGAGTGCCTCATTGATGAGGTGCAATTTCAACTTAAATTTTAAGTCTTGTAGGATTCGATTTTTTCTTCAAGTTTGACTGGCAATTTAGAAAATAATAGATTCGAAGACCTATCCGATATGAATTTTTATAAAAATGTATATGGACTGATGTTGTCCTCAGATGACATCACGATGACAGCTGAAGGAGTGGATACGTATCACTTGGTGAAAGCTGCTGGACGATACAAGTAGGTGTGAAGTGCTTTCACCACCACATCAATCAAGTTGACACCAAATTTGAAAAAAAAAAATTCAGGGAATGCCAACGAACACAAGGTGTTTCGACAACCGATTTGGTGGGGCGAATGCTGTTGATGTTGAAGTCGCATTTATTGACGGGTGAACGAGAGTACGATGTAGATGGATGGGAAACTACAGATGCGGAGAAAGAGCCGAAGTTGATGAATTCTCTGGGACGGTCTCCGTACACTGGTGTATCGCAATTTTTGCCGTCTACTAGAAAAATAAAACTATTTTCAGAGAGCCGAGAACCAAAGGTGGGTCGGAATTCGTAAGATCTTACGCACTCCTGAGTTTTCAAACCGAATCTTGCATCTTGAACCTTCCATTCATCATAATAAAATATAAATTAACTATACTGTACGAGCAAAGAAGTTTGAAATCATCAAGATTGTATTGATCGTGTAGACTGTAGAGAGTATGAATACATTATTTTTACTTGATTGCCAAACGCTCTTGAATAAAACGCACACCTGCATTTTTCAGCATAAAATTTGGATAAAAACTCATCTCCCAAGTAAGAGGAGCATCCTAATATTAAGAGACCAAAGCATACAATATGAAGTGGACTCCATTTACAGCAAAATGTGAAGAAAAAAAAAGTCTCGTACAGATATTTTTCAAAACTGCATTTCATTGGGCTGAACAAAAATCCGCGAGGCAGAGAATATCCGATGACATTTTTCGAAAGATAGAGAAAATCCATCTGTATTCGTAAGTATTCCATCTGTATTCCAACAGAATTTAAGTTTTAATATAATTGTGGTCAGATTTTTCTTTATTTTTTCATTGTTTCTATTTTCAAACTACAGTATATATTGAAAATAGTTGAAATTCTGGGTTGAAATCAAATAAGAGGTGCAACACAATTTTAAAAATTGTAATTTTATCTAAAGCATACGAACACTTTCTTTCGTCCCAATTGAAATTGGGTGTGTGTGGTACTACTGTACTACATGTAGTTAATTTAATAAATGTAAGATGTGATTCACAATATTCATTGCCTACGAGAAAATACTGGTAGTCGAGGTCAACCGTTTAAGGGGATCAAACGAACAAATCTACGTACATGGCACATATTCAACAGTTATGTATGAATATTATGTATTTCAACAGCCTGGTGACAAAATCGTTTATACCAACGGTGCCTTTGATCTGTTCCACATTGGACACCTTGATTTTCTCGAGGAAGTGGCGAAAGAGGGTGATTATGTCATCGTCGGCTTGCACACGGATCCTGTTGTAAATCGTTACAAAGGCAGCAATTATCCAGTGATGAATCTGCACGAAAGAGTTCTTTCCGTCCTCGCTTGCAAGGTTAGTTTTTGTTTTTCCCTGATCGCATGTACTTGACGTAGAAAGTTTTAATTTCGAGGAAAACGAGCGATTTGATTTACTAGAAAAGTTCTCGACATCGTGCGGACGAAGCAAAATGCACGTTTCGTTGATTATGAAGCAACCCCTAATTAATAAATTATGTACACCTAGCAAAAATTAATGCCCGGCGTACATGAATGACAGAAAAATCTTCAATCTGCCGAACATCAATTTCAAGTTGCATCGCTTCATTGGAATTAATCAGGTGATGCTGAATGTGAAGGTTTCTTTCAAATCAATACGCACAAAGTTGCGCAGTAGAGGCTACATACTCCCAGAAACTTGCTGACCATTATTTCTTGGTACTTTTGAACAAGCCATTTTTAAAATTATTTTGAATTTTCCACATGAAATGCAGTGTTAGAAAAATGTATGCACATTTTTATCAACTGAACAAAGAAACCTTGTTCACTGAGTTTTCAGTGGTTTTGTCGAACGAAGGCCCTTGTTCGAAGTGATTTCTTTGGGCGGGTGAGTAGTCCTCTTTCGTTTTTAATTAATTCCAAACATTTGATGAATCAGTATAAACATAGATGAATTCGGATTAAAGTAAAGTTCACATTTGACAAAACGAAGTTTAATCTTACGAAGAACGCGAGATGATTTAATCGGTGATCACGAGTGTGCGGAATGGAATACATGGAACAAAAGTGAAGAGAAAGCAACAAAAATTCAAGAAAAAGAAAAGAAACGGAAAAGATTGTCAAATGAGAGCTGAAAGAACTACCTTTTCAGCTCGGGATTTGTACGGAATGAAAATGGACTACGTTAAAAGCGCTACAGCCCCGGAGGTTGAAAGTGGTCTCCAATTGCTGTCCCGATCAGGGTTTTTTCTCACACCAGTTGCATTTCTTTCACTACTATTTTCTGCGGTTGCCAAGGAAGGTAATTCGGCTCCCCAAATGCGTCGACTATTGCCGAACACAGATTAACTTGGCTACAATCTCCAGCCTGAAATGATAAAGAGTAAAATCTCATTGCAAAAAATACCGTCACAACCGTAGAAAGCCCATAGAGTAGATGTTAAAGCAGTCTTGTTGAAACAAACTTCCAATTTCCAGTAGAGCAAATTTTCTAAAGAAATGTTTTAGATTTTCAAGGTAGACGTCTCCTGACAAATGCAGGCAGTCTGTAACTTATGATTACTAATTCTTGTAGCATGAATGAAAGCTGTGATCAATGATGAAAACTTCCGAGTAGTTCCACACATCATCCTCCCAGAATAAAAAAAATTATGACGCATCTGAGGGAATGCATGATTGAAACTAAATTTTCTTCAGAAGATCACCCTGCTTTTTCGCTAGAATAAAAAAATTGTAAGTAGACCAAAGACTAAGAAAAATTGATTATGGGCTAGTCTGGTTATGAATGTAAAAATTCACAATACGAAATTAATAATCATTACCCGATTTTTTTGAAGTCACCAGAAGTTTATATTAACGAGATTTCACGGTATAATAAAATTAAAGCATATCTGTTTTATTGAAATTGATAAATCTCACCGATTCAGCCTGGTTGTCCAAAGCTGTCTTCATTGCTTCATAACGAGTCAGAGACGGCTGTAGAACGATGATCTGACATTCTTGAGCAGATGTCAGCTTATCGCTAACGACTAAGTTCACAGTGAGGCTCTCAATGTCGAGGAGGTCTTCGCATTCTCGAGTGACGACCTGATGTCATAAAATTTTCTTATCCTCTTGGAACATCTTGATGCAATGCATTTTTCACATCCGTCGAGGAAAGACGACATACCTTGCAGGTTGGATCGAAGTAAACGAGGGTTCTAAATTCACATAGCGACCATAGAAAAGCTACTGCTGACGCATGGCTGAATTCGTGCGGATTGCACTCGTTGACATTGAGAGGGATGACGGTGAAGTACTTCTTCAATGTCCTCCTGGAATAAATGACCCAAATTGAATACTGTATTAAAACCTCATGTGTTTTTCCATTTGGATTTATTAGCGACGAAGATGTTTCGCCTTAATAAAGAAAAGGCTGGATATCGCAGCAAAAACTACCCAGAGCAAAATCAAACTATTGTGCGAACCGACGCACTTTAAATCGAGCAAATTCATTCAGCTATTGCATAAAAATAGCCGGGAGTTTTAACTTGAAAATCTTATCATAATAAAAATTTAGGACGTAGTCTCATTTAAGAATCTCGTCACTACGAATCGCGTCGTAATGGATTACGTACTTTCCCATCAACAAGGATGTTAAGTGTTCGAAAGAAGTCAGGAACAAAATCAACGCAAATGAATCGAGTAACCTCGAACGAAATTTAAACTTTACCAATTTGTTTACGCTACTTCATATTGACCGTGTAATAAATTCAGCGGACATGACATGAAAGTTATTTACATACACGGTTGTTCCATCAAGTGCCTTGTTCACGAGGATGAATCTCTCGTAACAACATCCAATGTCAGCAAAACTCATGCCTTGTCCCAGAGCCGAGGCTGCTTGGCAACAAGTCAGTGCAACGGTCGCAAATCCTTTCTTCCCCGCACAACCGACTTCAGGCGCTTTTAAAATATTCACGGAATTAAAAAAGTTGTTGGGGTGAAAACCGGAAATGTGTTGAATGTGTATTGATTTTGCTGTTTTCACAACCGCAGAAAAGCAGGTTTTGGGTAGGGTTAGCTTGAAAAACGTGGGCATTCTTTTGTACGGTTAGTTCGGTCAAAATGCTTTTGGATATTTTAAAACTTGTCGCATAGCTCACAGATCTTCCTTCACCTGAAACCTTAAAATCGGTCGTACTATTCGAGAAAAAGATTGCGGCTATTTCTCTCCGACCCTAAATTACTGCTGAAAATTTCGTGGCATTTACGCGCATGCTGCAGAATGCATATCTAGCGGGAAAAAGTGTGGTCTATATTGGGGTAATCGCGCCGTAAATCTCACGATTTTCGATGGGCCAGAAAGTATCCAAAATGCTCTCCCAAACGCCTTTCGAGGGCCTCGGGGGTCTTGGTAAACATTGAGGACAAGGACAAGTTCCCGCGGTCCGAACGATCAGAGGCTCTCTGCCATCTTGAGTGTGGACAAAAACTGTGACAGTGCCGTCGTCCTGCGTCGTCGACAAGGCGTAATCGTCGACGCAAGGAGCGAATTCTGACTCTTTGTCCAAGAGGGTTTTAGTAGACCCCTGACGACTCCCAGTTTGCGACGATCTCCTTGCTTCCTTTGTTGGGGGTTCAGCTGAAGGCTGATGAAAAAAATAAATAACACAATTGAACCTCGTTTTTTCCCCATCTCGGTTTTTTTGCTGATCCCGTGAAGTTCGACAGTCGAACCTTAAAATTATTGTACCCAGAAATCCCGAAATAAGCAAAAAATCGGAGATAGGAAAAAAGTATTCTCGAGACGAAAGAATTACAGGCTATTATTTCCCGATTTCCTTTCATTTTAATTCGAAAATCAAATGATGCAAGTCGATTTTTGAAATGCCAGGAAAAAAGTTAGGTTGGTTTCGGATTGGGATACAATTCGAAGGGTAATAAAGAATTGTAATTCGTGACTTTCTGGGGCTTGAATTAATTGACGGGATGCTTAACTTGGAGGCAAGGGTTTATTATCTCTAATAGTCATTCACTTCCTTTCAAAATGAAGCAAGTTATATATTTTTGCTTTTCTCTTTCCCGTGGTAATAGCTTGAAAGCCTCCAAAAAAAAATTCGAGTTGAGGAGATTCGCGGGAAAAGCATTCGAGTTAGTTAGGTTTTTAACGCATGGTTTCTAAGTGAATTCAGACATATACAAGAAAAAAAATTAAATTTATTCAACAGATGTAAGAGAAGTTATTTGTTTACTGTTTTCTTTTAAAGAGAGATTATTTCTCAAAAACCTGTGTCGATGAGGTTGAGCCGCGAATGGAAGACCGTCGATCGTTGCCCAGGGCCGTTTGTTGTTTCGCACTCAGGGGAGGGCAAATGGGGAAGACTGGGAGTCCACAAGAAGGAAAGGCACCAATTGCCTTCAATTTTTCCAACTCATCCTCATCCTTCTCTATGTATTCTGAAACGTGTTCACACTTGACTGGAGGGTCTGGACAGACTCCATCAGGATCCCCTCCATCAGGTTCATCAGGACCCCCTCCAGAAGGTAGATCGTCTTGTGACGCTGCAGTCTGCTCCTCTTCTCCTCCACCTCCACCACCCTGTGTTGAAAATTTAGGTAGTAGTATACTGTACTGTACTTGGTTTTATTAGGGCATGTTTACGAAAAAACAAAAAAATCTTCACGCTGTCAAATCGAAAAAAAGAAATTTACCCTTGCGCGCCTTACTTGAGTATTACTTGAGTATTAGTAGTGTTAGTATTTACTTGAGTACCACGCGCCCTCAAGTAAGGCGCACAAAAGGGTTTTTCAGTTGAAAATTTTGCAAAAATCTTATCCCCGAGTAAGACGCGCACCCCAATTTTTAGTGAATCTACAACCATACAATTTCAACAAAAAAAATTGACTTTAGGCGTGAATTTAACAAAAATCTGATCAATTTTCAACTTTTTCAATACAAAAATGTTTTCTTGTTATATTTGTTCCAAATGTCTCCATTATAATTAAGTATAATGCATACAAAACTTTTAAAACTTTGTGAAAATTTTGTAACTGCTTATGACGCGCACCCCTTTTTTTCTTCTGAAATTTGGGAAAAAAGGTGCGCGTGGTACTTGAGTAAATATGGTACTTGGGTACCAAGCGCATCAGAGTTTTTCATTTGAAAATTAGGATAAAATTGTATCCTTATGTTAGACGCGCACCTTCATTTTCAGTGTCTTTAAAACCGATTGATTAAAAAAATAAGGATGCCCCAATTTGAATTTAGACGTGGATTGAACCTGAATTCAAATAATAAATTCAATATTTTTTTATTAAAATAATCTGCTTTGTCAAACTTGGTCCAAAATTGGAATCAAATGGAATTAAAAATTTAACTCATAAAATTTCTTGTAACATTATTATGGACTAAGATGCGCAACCCCCGTTTAGTCCTCGGAAATTTGAGAAGGGTGCAGATGGTACTTCAGTAAATACCTAATTTTTAAACTATTGGCTTGCATGTTAAGAAAGAAGTTTCTTAACACGTTCCTACAGCAACAACAGTGCCATTTCCACTTCTTTGAACGGGGTTTTCATTGTAAAAGGGTGTGTAGCCTTAGTTCAAAAAGATTCAGAAATTCAAAATGAGAATTTAATCAAAGTTTGATTTCGACTCCTAAAAATTTAGAATACTTTTCATTTTGAGATCTGCTTGGTGCAGAATTTCAAGCTATCAATTAATGCAGTAAGTGACGATCTTAATTGACTGTCAAGTTGAATTTCCGAAGGGTTTTGAAGCAGGGTTAGAAATGAATTTGTCTGTTAAAAAACTCACATCTTGACCCGACTCATCCGCGCCAGGGTCCATGTAAGACTGCAACCCATCGCCAGTGGCACTGGAAAGCCCTGTCGGTGGTACACTCGTGTCGAGGGCTTGAGGCATGGCACCACTTCCGCCGTGCACCGTCTTGAAGGTTCTAGTAGATGTCCCAGCTTCTTCCGCTAAAATCGAACCAGATCCGGCCGGAATTGATCCAGTTCCGCCTCCCGCCGAACCAGTTGGCACAGATTCCATGAAATCTATCGAGGTGGTTCCTTTGGATTGTCCAGACGTGGTCGCAGCGGAGGATATGCCTTCTTTTGTCCGAGATGCCACTGCGGAACCACCGCCCATGGCCAAATCTGACACGGTTATGGGTTCTTTGGAACCTTTTCCGATGAGTGCAGTTTGTTTCGCGTCCAGGGCAACTTGTGATAGTTCCTTTGAAATCTTTTTGTCCATTTCACTCTCCTTTTTGGAGGCTGCATTTGGAGCAAACAGCAAATGAAATTCTGAAACTTTTGCATTGATATCGCCTAAATTTGAAATGGTTCGCATTAATCTGCGATATTACGTGTTCGTTTTTGTTGGACGAGTTAAGTTGAAATTAAAATAATTTCAAGTCAAACGTTCAAATCGAAAATCTGCCTCGGCTGGTTTTTCTACCTTTCGAGATGTTTTTTAAATTAGTGGGGCCCAGAGATCCAGACGTAATTGATGCTTGGACTTTGTCTTTATGTCGGAACGTCCGTTTGTCGGATCATTCAGAGATTATTTAAATGGTTTTTCTGACAATGCTCGGAAAAAGTCTTCCAAAAATGTTCCTATGCGACAATTTTATGTAAAATATGAGAGAATTTTACAAACTTCAAGTTTAAGAAAATAATAGCAAATGAGAAACCACGCATGATTCATATTTTGGCATGAAAAGGAGCCCGAAAAGCGAAGAACAACAGCAAGACTTCCTTTACTGTGCTCAGATGTTGGATATAACTCTGTAAAATTTATCACAGAATTATCCTGTTATGGATTATGAATTTTACCGAGTTTATTATATTTTTTCCGATATTTTTTGTATTAAAAACTCAGTCTGTCCATGAGATATCAAAAATTTGAAGAATTAAGTTTTAAGGTGGTCCAGAAATTATGTAAAATACTGTATTAGTAAAGTTTCCAAATAGAGACATTGTACGGATGTCGGGGCCATAAGTCAACTCGTCCATGTGTATTTGGATATGGAATCAAGAATTCAGGAAGTTTCTCAAACCTTGCTCAACTGGGTCTTCAGAAATATCAAAATTGGGGCCACCAAACGTCTCTTTTCCGTACCCGCCTGTCCTTTGATCAACGAGAGAAGACCTCCGATGATTCATGAACACTTCTTGCAATTCTGGCTTTTCTGCACGTGGTGCTTTTCCTATTGGAGCCCGCAAAATTTCCGCGTTTTCAGACCCCGGCTTTGGATCCGTTCCTTGTTGTCCTTCTTTGCTACTTCCACCAGAGTCTCTGTCGCTAGATACTATTTCCGGGCTCGTTTTCTTTGCGCTAAAAATGTAAAAAAAAAGTTTCTTCAAGTTTTAGTCTGTTGAAAAAAAAAATGTATGTAGAATTGCAGAAGCTGTACAAAGTAGTTCCGCATGAAACTCGCCTGATGGAGAAAGATTGTTTGCGAAACTCCAGAGTTTCCGGGCGCATTCCTCGAAGTTTGGCGAGTTTCCTTTTGTAAGAGTCGCTTCTCGACCCGCGCGAAGAACTTTCACAGCGTTGCCAAAGTCGCACGGCGGCGACGGACACGGCGCCCGCCAGGACGCCACCCACCACCAGCCGCCATTCTCCCGGGTTTGGACACGTGCTCGACTGCACTGTGGCGCAGCATGTTTCGCAGATTTCCCGGAAGCTGAGTGGCGGTGTTGGGGGCGCCGGCGGAGAGCAGTTTTGTGCCATTTCCTTCTGTAAAAAAATTATGATTTTATATTGAGTAAATGAGCAACCTTACATAGTTCTCACGTGACAAGAATGTTGAGGCTGCTCAGAAACCCGTTGCAACTTACAACGAATCGTTTAGAACCTTAGAAGAAGCTAAATTACAAAGAAAATGCGTTAAAGCGAATGACAAATGAACGAGGACCGAAACAAAAATCATTTACAGGATTAATTCGTTATACCGTGAGTTTAACTGCTACAATGTAAGAACGAATGTTTGCAATATTTGAGGATTTCATTTTACAGGGAAGAATTGCAGGCAACAAAAATATTAAAAACTTGAAATTTGACTCAAGAATTATGCAAAAATGATGCTGCGTATCATTCATCCATTCCTGGAAAATAGTCAAACGATATTCCTTAAAAAACTAGCCGGCCATTTGCTTTGTACACATCATCTGAATCTAACTCAACACCAAACTAAAAAAATATCCGAAGCTTGCAATGAAAATCAGAGTTTGGGTTGCGAAGTTAATTTTTAACTTATTTTGCATTAAATTGTCGCATAGGAGAAAGAAAACTAGGGACGGCTTTGACAAAGGCAAGCTCATCATATTTTCTCGATTTCGATCTGGTTTAAAAATTGGAATTGGAATATTTAAAAAATTGATTCCGAATTTCTCATATTAAGCTCATCAGAACATATCCTGAAAAAAAATGTGTGAAAAGTTTTTCTTAATTTCTTTACCTCTTGTTAACCTGCTGCAATTCGAAGTCTCAGGAATTCCTCTCCGTAGGTCAGGAAAAGCCGTCGAAAGTCATCCCGCAAACCTTTGTGAAAATTTATTCATTTTATCTTTTACTACGACAGAAGTACGTGCAGTAGAAGAGAAGGATTAATCATAAATTACAGGATCGAAATTCTGATAAAGTGTGGAGTAATGGGCAAGTAATACGCAATCCTGGGCGATTGTTTCAAATTTAACATGCTAATAGGACAGCACGCGCAAAAAAACTTTTAAAAGGTTTTACAACTCTAATTATTATTTTCTAATTTAATTACAAATGCGTCCAAAACTTTACCCATGCTTTCCTTGAAGAGCTATTTTTGTAAACTCACGCAGAAAATGATGAAAGAAACACTGGAAAGCGTGGAACCCTCAGTAGATGATCTGCTGTCTGGTGCATTGCCCCAGAGGGCGCTGAATCGCCTCAGAGGCATTCGATTCTGCACCAGGCTCATCGTCGGAAGCAGTAAATGAGTCCCAAACATAGTTTAGAAACCGCATGAATCGGTTCAACAAACAGGCGACGACTTTGTACAGCCATGCCCAGAAATCAGGGAACAACAGGTACGTTAAATAAAGGAATAGTGCAGAGAGCAGAAGGGATGTCATCAGCCTGATGATCCTTTCCGTTTCTGGTGCTCTTGATCTGGAAGTAAAAAAAAACTTCATTCCTAAAATGTTTGCTGTCGCCTGTATCAGTAATCTTGAACTTGTGAATCGAGATTGGAACTGATCATGCGCGATTAGAATTCAGGCGACATCTATGTAATGGTTAAGATTTACGTGGGTTAGAATGATGGACGAAACATCTACAGCAGCTAAAAAAAAAACTGAAACGACAGTATGAAAACTGATTGCATGAGATATATTAATCCTTGAATCTCCGTATGAATCATAAACGTCCCTATGTCAATTTTTATGAGTCAGTGTCTTTAAAAAATGATGCATTAAAAACCTCTATAACTCGAAGGTTTTTCCCGTAAACCCCCATAAATCGAATTTTATGGAGGCCTTTTGGCTATTATTTTTTCGACACGAGGTAATGAAATTAAAAAAATTTAACTTCATGTGTTTTAAAAGGAAGTGAAGGACTACAGTAATTGAGAAAATGAACCTTTGCTTCCAAGTTCAACACCCTGTCAACTCATTTCAGAAGCAGTTCAAGGCCCAGAATCTCATCCTTACAATTTTTCTGTAATTCGTCTTTCTTTCCCCCCAACATAAAATGCTTTTTTCCCAGACTTGAAACCTATGTTTTACTTTGTTTATTAATATTTAATCAAAATTGAGAAAATGTCGAGGACAAAAAAGCAAACCGTCGTTTTTTGTTGACGAGAGGCGACAGGCAAGACCTGTAACCAAATGTGGGCTCAGCCCAGAGTGAACCCTGGTCATGAATCTCGCAGCTAATTGCTGTGTCGTCACACTTTCTGCAGGACCCATCAGGGCGATAATACGGCGGTCGTGGGTACAGCAAGGCATGATTTAATGCACACCGATCCGTGTCACACCTAATGCAAATTTTATGCAAATATACGTACGATTTAATGTATGCTTGAAATCCAGCTGGATTTTGTCACTCACGCGGCGGAGCCAGGCTTTTTGCTCGTCATTTCGCCCCGAAGGTTGAGCCTTTTGATGCTAGATGATCTCTTTCGTGTACCCTTGGGCTCTGGAATCAGTGGGAGTTTATTTAAAAAAATAATAAAATGGGCCTTTTTCTACGCAACTTTAACTGCAGAATGAGCTGAAGTTTTCATCTCAGCGGAGTCAGGTTAATCGCTTAATTACGCGATTAATCCGAGATCAACTGCAGGGTTCAAATTTATCGTGACAGTGGGAAACAGTTATTTTTGTTGTCGAAACTCAAGAAATGGGATTTAGTCCTCGAAGGTTCTCCCCAAAACTTCGTCAAACCATGTGTGCTATTTTTCCAATGCTTGCATTCGTAATACGAATTCGTAATGACCCAGAAGTTCTTGAGTTGAATTCTTGGAGAACCGAAACGTCAAATTGACCACCAACGACATCTACAGACGCAAAACTAAAATTTTTACGTGATGGAAAATACGAAACATTTTCTTTCAACTCTGAAATTATTTAAATGCAGTAGTTGGGTTGCATCAGTGAATAACCCGTAAATATTCTAAAACCCTTTTATAATTTGAAAATGGGGATTCCAGCTGAACTGGAATGAACGGCATGGGCTATATTTTGAACACGGATCCTCGTGCAAACTGGGCTGATGGCTGAATTTGCATAACTGCTTGGATTACGAAGATTTGCATGATTTCTGTAAGGGGTTGAAAACGGGATTACCTTGAAAAATGGAGGGCTTTTCAGCAGCGAATTGATCACTCGCGTCTAACAGAGTCCCGTTGGAAGTCAGTTCTCGTTTGCCAATCGAAGGGATTGGAACCTCCAAATCTTCCGCAAATTTCACGCTGTCTCGGCGACTAGGAGACTCTGGTTTCGAATCTGCTGGACTCGATGCCTTTCGTGATTTTTCGTCTGTTTTTAAATTAGCTGGACTCGAAGCCTTGCTTGAGTTTTCGTCTGCCGTCAAATTTGCAGGACTCGATGCCTTGCGTACTTCTTCGTTTTTGGTCAAATCAGCTGGACTCGATGCGTTGTTAACTTCAACGTCATCAGGCTGGTTGTCGAGGGCATCAAAAGCTTTACTCTCAATTGATGTCGGGTCGTTGGAAGAAGCCGAATGGTCAATTATTTGTATCCCTTGCTTCGTTTCTTGACGCGATGGACTCCGGCCGGTGGGACTGGTTTGAGCAGATCTGCAAGGAAAGTGCCGTAAAGCCCGACCTTGGGTTCATAAGAAAATTTTTCAAATATGATGTCAGCCAAGATAAGTTCGTGACATCTACCGAAGACTGCAGAATAAATTTACCCATCCAGAGAATTTTCAACAAACAATTCGAAAAATTGGAAATGAAACGTTCAAGTTAAAATTGAATTTCTGGTGCGTTTCATTATAAAAAAATATTTCTATTTCAAGTCTCCAAAATGGGGTGTACCTCGGGATACATTTACATCTAATTTTTTGGCTGAAAATTCATGCTACGTGGTACTGAAGTACCGCAGTACTGCACAGTAAATTGCTTGGTTTGATCAAGAGATATCAATTTTTTTATCAACTCCGCTAATGTCTTCAAGAGGCCCCATTGTATTTCAAGTTGTGTTGACCTTCGCAAAAATATATTATATAGATTTCGGTGCTTGTGTATCTGAAGGATACCAATTATCCATGGCCTAGTATTTCGTGAATATGTACTCACTGATCTGGAAAGAAGATGGGATGTTCAGTGACTTCGTAGGGAGAAAGTTTGGTTTCCAGGTCGCTGTAAATTCCGGGGGCGAGCGGATTGCCGGGAATTTTGTCAACCGACGTCCCAGCCTCGTTCGGCTTTGAAATGAACTTGTCCCCTTCCTCGCGAAGAAGTTCCTCGTCGGAACTGGATGAACTCCTCTTCCTCCTGTTGAAACGAAAACTTTTTCGTGATTGCACTCGAAACGTCGGAATGCGGTGGTATTCAAATGCTTGGGCGGATGTATTTCATACTTGATCGCACTCTCTTTGGGGTCCTTGATGAGAGAACTACGCTTGCTTTTCTTGGAAGCCCGAGTGGAGAACTGAACGAAAGCACCGGGTGTGCCAAACGTGGGCTGTGAAAAGGAGTTTATTAGGTCGTGGGGAAGTTAACGCCTGTTTTCACCCCTTTTGCACCGTAAATAAAAGACTACTGACTGGGTCAAAATCACTGTACTGTACACAGGTACAGAATAAAAGAGTAAAAAGATTAATCTTTTGTGTAAATAACCGTTGAAGGTTATTCTTGGTAATCAATGAAGCCAGAGATTGGAATTACTCTAGGGAGGAAATCAAGCCTGTGAAGGTTTCTGTCGTTGGCAGACGTTTGTCTAGAGTCTAGAGACTACAGAGCAGTGTTCCCCAACCCATGGAAATTTTCTCAAGCAGAGTGCATTTTATCGAAACTATCTAAGAAAGACGTTACAGTATCTTCATCTGAAAATTGTTAATGAGAATTGCGGTTAAAATTATTTCATGGAAAATAAAAGTTGGCTTTCCTCCTGATGATAGCTCAGATATATTTTCACCTGATAAAATTATTTTAATTTTTCATTCTGATATACTGTATGTTCAATCCCACCTGTCTAATTTTTTGAAGACATTCCAATATACTGTACCTGCTTCTTTGGTTCTCAACTTAATTTTTTTTGCCAAAAGCAGAAACTTTTTCAATACCTGCTGTAAAGTATTTCAAGCGAAACTTGTCTGGGTCTGCAAAAATTTTACAAAACTTTGCCGGTCCGTAGAACATATTTTGAAAATGTGATGGTGTGCGAAAAATTGAATGGAAATTTGCCGGTCCGCGGGCCCAAGAAGGTTGGAGTTCACTGCTCTAGAAAGCAAGTTATTTACATATTTCGACAAACTTACTTGAGAAGTTCCAGAAGCCGGCATATCCAAAAAAGGAACCAAGCAACAGCCCGATAGTTGTCCATATCGCATCGCGTATCGTACAATCCAAAGCCTCTTGTGCTGGTGGATTGCAGCGAACACACGTTGGCACTGATTCAGAAACCCAGCAAGAATAAAAGCAAATTTAAAATATTTTAATTGATGTTGTGGCGAAATTTCCTGGCTACACTATTATACCTTAAACTAATCAGAATTAATATTATACTGAATATTACTTCAATATGAATGAGCCTTATCTGACCCGAAATACTGTAACCTGAAATAAAACNTGACTTGCTTTCGTGGCCCACACGGTTTGCACCCGACACTTTTCCTCAAATAATCCAGCACCCCTTCAATTGCGGACAAAAGTGGGGAAAACGTGGCATTTATTTTCTGATGACTGACCCAGTTTTAAACTGTACTGTACACTGGTACAGAATAAAAGAGTAAAAAGATTAATCTTTTGTGTAAATAACCGTTGAAGGTTATTCTTGGTAATCAATGAAGCCAGAGATTGGAATTAACTCTAGGGAGGAAATCAAGCCTTTGAAGGTTTCTGTCGTTGGCAGACGTTTGTCTGGAGTCTAGAGATTATAGATCAGTGTTCCCCAACCCATGGTCCGCGGACCACCGGCGCCGGTCCGCGGGAAATTTTCTCAAGCAAAATACATTTTATCAAAACTATCTACGAAAGACGTTACAGTATCTTTATCTGAAAATTGTTCGACAATTGCGGTTGTTTAATAAAGTACCTTTTATTTTCAACCGAAAGGAGGACTACTATCGAGTCTATATAAAAGTGGACTATTTTAATAAAATTAAAAAGTAAGACTATATGACATACAAGTTAGGGTGGACAGATTAAATTTGAAGACATTCCAATATACTGTACCTGCTTCTTTGGTTCTCAACTTAATTTTTTTTGCCAAAAGCAGAAACTTTTTCAATACCTGCTGTAAAGTATTTCAAGCGAAACTTGTCTGGGTCTGCAAAAATTTTACAAAACTTTGCCGGTCCGTAGAACATATTTTGAAAATGTGATGGTGTGCGAAAAATTGAATGGAAATTTGCCGGTCCGCGGGCCCAAGAAGGTTGGAGTTCACTGCTCTAGAAAGCAAGTTATTTACATATTTCGACAAACTTACTTGAGAAGTTCCAGAAGCCGGCATATCCAAAAAAGGAACCAAGCAACAGCCCGATAGTTGTCCATATCGCATCGCGTATCGTACAATCCAAAGCCTCTTGTGCTGGTGGATTGCAGCGAACACACGTTGGCACTGATTCAGAAACCCAGCAAGAATAAAAGCAAATTTAAAATATTTTAATTGATGTTGTGGCGAAATTTCCTGGCTACACTATTATACCTTAAACTAATCAGAATTAATATTATACTGAATATTACTTCAATATGAATGAGCCTTATCTGACCCGAAATACTGTAACCTGAAATAAAACAATCTGCAACCTGAGAAAGATTCAAGCGCGGGGAGAACAAATCATGGGGCGCTGATTTACAGACGCCCCGAATTATGGAGTATTCTGTCTTGCGACACCTGAAAACTACGAAAAGAAAGTCTGTAGACGTCTGGAGAATGTCTTGAGATACGGACACTTCTCCGTTTCGAGAAAAAAATTGAGAGGATTTGTTTCAAAATTTTTGATTCATATTGAACGAATTTGACTAATCTACCATGTTTACTGGGTTACTACAATTGGGTAAGGCACGCACCCAAGGGTAGTCAAATGGAATTTTAATTTTTCATATCCACTGCTTCGATTTGTTCTGCCGAATAATAAAAAATATTCCTGATGGAATCAAGTATGAGGAGCACCAAAGCTTTAAAAATGGCTTTTAAATGTTATACCTGCCTGTGACTAGTGCTTTTTTCTCTTCCTAATTTTGAAAAAAAGGTGCACGTGGTACTTGAGTGAACACAGTACAATATATTCGCGAACAAATTTAGTCTAATTGATAACTAAAAAAAAAATGATTTGGTGCTTGTTTTTCTTCGTATTTTTTAAATTATTCTGGCATAGTAAAGCGAGACATGTGCTTGCTCTTCGCTTTTTAGACTCATTTTCGTGCCAAAAGGGCAGATTCCGAGGGGTTTTCTCCTGCACAGTTTATATTCTGCTTCTGGAAGTTCAGGAAAATTGTTCAGGGGACGTTTAACAAATGTTGACTAGCAGGAGAACAAATTGATTTTGCCATTAGTCTATGGGGAAAATGTATCCGACATGCGGACGTTCTGGCATAGGGACACAGCTCAAGAACCAGTTACGTCCGCATCTCGGGACCCCACTGAATACAGAAGTACAGTATGTGACATCAGGCGTTCAGTGAACTTAATCGGGTCTATTGTTAAAGGCGAATATCGCGCCATTTTCTAATTCATTAGATACGAGAACGTTTCGAAATTCGTTTGGAATATTGAATTCGGCACTTCTTCGAATAACACGATGCTCACCACCACAAGAAGCCATCGTCACGGTTTGCTGCAAAGTTTCTTCTCAAGTTCATGATAAAGAACCCGGAAACCCGGTCTCTTTTATGTTATACACCTCGTCAAGTCCCACGTCCGACACTGAATGCATCATACGAACCCTTAAAGTTAATCCCAATGTACCAAATAGGATTTTGTTGGTAAATCCTGTAGAAGGTTGATCACAATCCGATCGAAATCGTTGAGGGAAATTTCGAGTCCTGGAAAATTCCAGCTTATGGATTGATTTAAAAATTTCAGGTGGAAGATTTAAAGGAGGTCGTATGAATTACGGATATATATCACCATTAAATAATTTCAATATTGTGATGAATTTCTGTGCGCGACTTCAATCAGGGTAATCCTCGCTTGCTTTTGCACCTGGTATTGCGTCTGAAGTCCTTGTAAGTCACAATTCTGATTTTTTTCTGATTTTTCTAACTCTTTAGTCTTCCCTGTATTGCTAGAATTTAAGTCAGATGCTGCCTGAATCATTGACCCGACCAAAGCGAGCCTCTTTCAGAGTTTTCTACTCGACAATTATCGAGGAAATTTAAACCGCATCTATATTTTAAGGTAATGAAAAAAATACGGAGTCCTGAACTTCGGTCATTGAAATATCAATTGGCATACATTTTGAGGGATGAAGTTTGAGGTACTGTAATTCGCAAAAAAGTTTTAATTTGATTGGAGTCATTTTGAGGCAGAAAAAATATGCCATGTTCATTCTTTCTATAACAAGAAATCGAAAAAATATTTATGTTCATTCTTTTTTCACGCATTCTATTTTTGTTCTTGCAATTTTTGAATGCAAACACCGATTATGGTACAGAATTCGAAAAAAAATGCGAAGTCCTGATCTTCGGTCTGTGGCATCAAGTGAAATGGGATAAGTTTGAGGTAATTCGCACTAAAAAGTTACGCTTTCATTTGAGTCATTTTATAGTAAAAATATAGATAATACCGTGTTTATTCTTTGAGAAACCTTTCATTGCAAACTATTTTTGTTGATTCTTTGTTACAGTACGGTAATCGTATTTTGTTCTTGAAATTTTGGAAGTGCCCATTTACCCTTTTGAGGCGCTGTTGAATGAGCCTCTCGAGTGTCGACGTGAAAGCGCGCATTTTTCATGTCACCGGAAAGAAAGCCCTTATTTTGCATGAATCCCATTCTTTGCCCTGCTCTTGTTACCCTCCGGGTTTTGGCTGCTGTATCATGTGTCGAGGATTTCCTATCTTGTTTTTTTTTTTTTTTTTAACCCTCCCAGTTCGTTTCTGAAGTCGTGATCGGGGCTCCGTTTGAAGTGACTTCGGATCTTTTGGACCACTTCGGCGTCAACCTCGTGTGCCACGGGACGAAGTATTATGCCATGTGCGAGGACGGTTCAGATCCGTATGCCGAACCGAAACGACGCGGAATCTTCAAATTCGTCGAATCGGGGAATCAAACGACTACTGAGGGGATCGTCAGCAGGATCATTCGACGAAGGTAAGAAAACAGAAGCAAAACAAAGCAAAGATTCCTTTTAAATAATTTAAGAAGTTTCTGTTGAGTTTTTGAATAAAAGTCGAACATCTTTTTTCACCGAAATCTCGATTTTTTTCAGGTTGGAATTCGAAGATAGAAATCGAAATAAGGAGGAAAAAGAAGTGAAGGCATTAGCTGCTTTGGAAGCATCGAAGCAGTCGTAGGACCAGACGAATAAGACGCTTTTTGTTCTGCCTTATTGAAGATGACTTTTCGTCCAACACAAAGAAATTCCATACTTTTCTTTTTGTTTTTGTTTCGGCGTGGGTAAGTCTTCGCGTGCGTTCCAATTGGGTCGATGGAAATTCCTCGAGACAGTGTTTTACCAGGGATTCAAACTTCCGAATCGATTTGACCTTGCCGAATTTGTAATTTTTTTTTTCGTACATCATCGTATACGTTCGCATTTAAAATTTGATTATCCGATGGCATATTTTTATCCTCGATTGACGTTGTCTCGTTTGGATGAGGGGGTTTTTGTTGTAAATTTTAGCGCGTGGTACAATCTTTTAGCTTTATGTGTTCGTTGGGATTTTGGGAAGTGGGGCTGATGCGTGAAAAAAAGCAAATACTGACTAGTCCAGATATGTCCTGATTTGTTTTATTGAGGATGGAAGACTCGAGTATAATAGACGAACAGCCGTTTGAAGACATTGATTTTAGCGAAGATCATCGTCCTTGATGGATTTAAAGGATGAAGGTGTGCCTTCGATGCCGGGGTTTGCTCGTTTTTTTTTTTCATTGGGATCTAGAGTGTTACGTCTTCGAATGGGGTTCAATACAAAGTCAATTTGGGACTCTTTTTGTCTTGTTGCATTTCTTGAGGTCCTTTCAATTCCACAAAATCAGTCATCAAACGCACCCCAAAACGGATTTTTTCCTTGTAGATGTTGCATGAGTTATTCTACAAGTTACTTAATTCAGTTGACTCATATTTAGCATAATGCATTGAATTATGCGTGCAAAAACTGGGAATCATTTGTGGACTTTTGAATTTCAATAAATCAAGCCTTGCTAAGTCACATACATGTCTTGATTGGCTTTAAAATGAAAACCTCCCTCCCAAAGGCTTTCCTCCTCAAACCACCATAATTGAAATGTTTCTGAGTCCTGGCTACCATTTTGTTGTCACATCAGGAAACAAAGAAGCGATAAAATTGTTACTTGATGTGTTTTGAAAGGAAGTGAATCATTAATGGGGAGATTGAGCCCTTGCCCTCCAAGTTCAGCATTTTGTCAACTGTCAGAAGCAAAGTAAAGTTCAGAATGTCATTAGTTACAAATTCCTGTAATTATTCTTCCCCCCCCCCTTTAAAAAAATATAAATTGAATTTTGTTATCTTGAAAATTTACTTCAAGAGGTTTAACTTTTGGAATAATTCAGTGGAAAAGTCACTGGCAGGGGCATTTGAAGAAGAATTGGTCTACTTGTTTGAAAAAGTTAATTTTAAATCGACCAGCACACGTTGGAAACACAGACATATCCATGTTTGGAGCAGTAATAAATGTCCAAAAGCGATATTTATTTATTTTTAATATGTTTTATAATGTAGAAAGGAAGGAGCTGGCGAGTTTTGGCAGATACCCCACCGTGTTGCTGTGACAAATTTCACAAATGTAAACCCACGCGTGAGCCGTGAAACGCACTTTTTTTTGGCACGGACCATACATATATATTTTCACGAGAGACATTTTTCCGGTTAAGAGTGAAGAAAACATCCGAGGTCGGAGTGAATAACAAATTTGCAAAAAAAGAGAAAAAAAATCAGGTAGGACTGGGTGTGACTAACGGAGCAGTGGACCATCTCGCCTTTGCAATTTTCCTCTGCTCCTCAGTCAGCGGACCGTCGAGTCTCTGGAAAAAGAGAATGTAGACCTCGTAGGGCTCAATCGCCATTTTATCCGGAGCCTTTGCAATTTTCTCGTAGATCTTGTCGTCGTCCAATCGATACCAAGTCCCATTCTGAGTCTGCAGCTTCACGTGGGCCGTGTAATGACCGGTTTGTATGGAACCGTAATGATTGCACACAGCATAGAGTTCGTAGGAAAAGCATTGTTTCTCCGCTTCGGGTGACGCGAATCTCGACAGGTCCACGACGTCAGACTCGACATCGATCGGCGTGTCGACTTTGCCAGCCGACAGTCTGTTGAAATCCCGGTTCACCCTCAATACGAGGATGTCAGGTGATCTGTACAGTGTTGTATTTCGTATTGCGGTGGACCGAGAGTCGCAGGATTGGCAATGAAAATTGCGGATTTCCTCGCGGGCGAAAAAGGCGGAAACGCAGGCCTCTAGAGTCACTGGATCTTCCTGGAAAGATATTGTGAACTTTCACATTAATGAACTTTAATGTAACGCAACTATGAAGTCTGAGTTTCCTCAGCTTTAAAAAAAACGTAGCAGATATTTTTCCGACTCTGACCTGGACGACGATTGGCAAATACAGCGAATTCATGGGCTCAAATTTCTTGTGAACCCGTTTGCAAACCGAACACGTGTCTTGCAACACAATCAAACCGTAAAACAAGTCCGTGACGACCGAGTTGGTTCTTTTATAGAATTCGCTCCAGTATTCGGAAGGGGATGAAATTGGCACTTGCGAATTCCGCGGCGTCGGACGCTTGAGCATCGAAATGCGAACCCTCGACTTGGTCGAACTATTCGCACTCGACGTCGTGTCGCTCACTTCCGGCGGAGTTGACCTCGTGTTCGCTGAAAGCGAGGGCACATCCACGGAATGTCGTTGTTCATTTTCGCCGAGATGATGATGATGATGATGATCAATGTGATGATCATTATGACGTCGGGTGCGGTCAGCAGATCGAATGTTATTTGAGATGACGCCGGTCTTTGTCACCAGATCTGCTGAAGGCGGCCGTACGACTGATGACGTCAAATCTAACCTTTGAACGATGCGTTTCAGATGACAAGAGAATAACTGGTTCAATTCGATCGCTAAAAGCATTCCCAACACTCTTTCATATATAGTGCAATATTGTAAATACAGTACAATATATGATTTCTCATCAAAGATTCTCTCTAAATTGTTATCATTCAACTAAGCCTAATACAGAAGCAAGCTGAAGACCTTGTGCTTTAGATAAACGTTTACTGCTACTTTGTTTTCAATGTCAGGAAATGGGTGGGTGTATGTCATATGTCCAGTTTGATTTTGTGGAGTGTGTTTTAAATAAAAACAGTAGTTAAACACGAAACAAAGGACGAAACTTCACTAACTATGTCTTTGAGGGGATGGGTTGGGTGGGGAGGGGGTTTGGATGCGGGAGTCTTGGTTGTACCTTGTGAACCCTGAAAATCGGCAAATAAAGTGTTCTGTTCATTCATTCATTCAGTACAATACATGACCAATTACAACAATTTAAGATTAGCATATTTGTACTTTCTCATGACAAATCATGCAGATATATAAGCTGATATGACTGGCCAAAACATCAAAATAAAATATTGTAAATTCTGTAAATTCAGTAATTTGTAAGAATAAAATTCAAGAAATTCTATAAGATGTCTTGTTTAGGGCATCAGAAATGCATGTGTCTCAGTTCTTGGTAAAGCTAGACGCATTTGCAAATTTGTGACATTCCTAGAAATACGTCATAGTCCTACTCTTTTATATGCATATATGTATTTATGTGTGATATTCATGGCTAGCAAGGGTTGCAAATCAATCCATTTTCATTTATGAGGATTTTAGCTACGATTTACTTGCCCTTGATCAATATAATTCATCGATCACATTCTTTTCTCTGCAAATTAAAATAACCTGTAAGTTCAAACACATCACAATTGAAGGATATTATAACAGACAAATACTATCTCAGATATGGTTGAATATAGCAATACTTATACATACTCTACTACTGTATGTAAATTATATAAGTGAGATGCAACACTTATAAAAAGCAGTGATTTGATTTTATGATGCCCACTTATGGAAGGATGCTCGAGGGAATCAGCTTTTCTATTTTCAGGAGTCAAATAAGATGAAAGTGATGCCAAAATCGTTATACTCGATCTGACTTATGCTTAAATAATTCTGCGAGAAACAATCTTTCGTTCATATGAAATAATCCGAATTCCCCTCGGATAGAATATGGTTATAGTTATGTACATTTAACACTAATAACTTCAAATTTGGCAGAGCATCATATATAGAATAGCAGCACCGCATTTTCTCACCCTGGAGCCAATTTTTTATTCCCTCCGCCGTCAATGAGATCCTTGTTGAGCAAATTATTCGACGCTTGTTCGATCCTGATTTTTGCAGCGTCTGTGGTTTCCGCCAATATTTTCTCGCCGTGCGAGTGATGCTGATGATCATCAGCATCGCGTTCAGAAACTTGAAGCACCCGTTGTTCAGGAGGGTTTCTGTCCAGTTCCTCGTGCAAAGTTTGAATGAGGAATTGCAGAAATTCGTAGGCATCTTCTTGCGCGTCGTCTCGGTAAACTGGGTTTAGAACCCCTAGAACTTTCTTGAGTTCCGAACAACTCAACAGATCTTTCCGCGGAATCGGTTCCCAGATTGTTCTAAATAATTTCGTGATCTGGAATTGAGAAGGAACAGTTTTCGCAATCGAATTTTCCAATGAACATATGTTTATTTATCCTCTAAAGACCCTGAATTCACTAGAAAATGTTGATGAATTCATCGCAAAATTTCCACACCTCTTTTGAGCACTCATTAAATTTTACGCAGGAAATTAAATGTAAAATTTATGTATGTGCTCATGTGCAAAAATTTCGATCAGTGTAAAAATACGAAAAAAATTAAATCTTGCTGTTAAATGTTGCGATAAAACTTTTTCTTAATGGCAACAGTGAGAAAGAAGACAAGAATTTTTAAAAATAATATAATTATCTTTGGCAGAAAAGTTCTTCGCTTTTTGGAATAAAAAAATTGCGGTAAAATTTATTTGAGAGGTGGGATGCCATTTCTGCACTAAATTATTTTTACTGCAATTCAAAATCATTTGTCATTTAATTGTTAAAATATGTTTCCTTTTATGAAACATGTGTAATATTCATCAATTGGCATGATTGAGGATGAATTAGCATCTTCATATAATTTTGTTGCGAGTATTTTTGGGGTTCCCGTGGTGTGGAACCAATCATTCATTTTAAATGATTCATGCAATAAAAATATTTCGTGTGTGATTAATAATAACAGATCAAGTTCATTATAGAAAAAGAAGGCGCCAATTTAATTACAGCGCTCGATTTCCTTCTGTGCGAACTACAGAGAGACAGAGAATGCGCTCAATTTGGCAGAAAAACCCGTCAACTATACATTATAAGCAGTACTTGATGCATAAATATCAGGCACCTCGATGCTGACGGNTGGGAACCAAGGTTTTCCGAGATTCCCACACAGATACGAATGAAAGACTAAATTCGTCGGGGAATTCGGGTTCTCCAAAAGCTAGCGTATCGAATTTAATGTATCCGTTGAAATATTCGCGACAGCTAGCAAGGGTTGCAAATCAATCCATTTTCATTTATGAGGATTTTAGCTACGATTTACTTGCCCTTGATCAATATAATTCATCGATCACATTTTTTTCTCTGCAAATTAAAATAACCTGTAAGTTCAAACACATCACAATTGAAGGATATTATAACAGACAAATACTATCTCAGATATGGTTGAATATAGCAATTCTTATACATACTCTACTATGTAAATTATATAAGTGAGATGCAACACTTATAAAAAGCAGTGATTTGATTTTATGATGCCCACTTATGGAAGGATGCTTGAGGGAAACAGCTTTTCTATTTTCAGAAGCCAAATAAGATGAAAGTGATGCCAAAATCGTTATACTCGATCTGACTTATGCTTAAATAATTCTGCGAGAAACAATCTTTCGTTCATATGAAATAATCCCAATTCCACTCGGATAGAATATGGTTATAGTCATGTACATTTAACACTAATAACTTCAAATTTGGTAGAGCATCATATATAGAATAGCAGCACCGCATTTTCTCACCCTGGAGCCAATTTTTTATTCCCTCCGCCGTCAATGAGATCCTTGTTGAGCAAATTATTCGACGCTTGTTCGATCCTGATTTTTGCAGCGTCTGTGGTTTCCGCCAATATTTTCTCGCCGTGCGAGTGATGCTGATGATCATCAGCATCGCGTTCAGAAACTTGAAGCACCCGTTGTTCAGGAGGGTAAGACAGGTCAAGGAGCACGTTTCAAACTTACTCCTTAACGTCTTTAAGCATCCGTAGAAGAACGCGCAGCAGAGCCATTTGACCCAAATCTTGGGGATCTTGAAAGAACTCAAGGCTTGTTGAGTTAAGATCTTTCCGCGGAATTGGTTCCCAGATTGTTCTGAATAATTTCGTGATCTGGAATTGAGAAGGAACAGCGTTATTCCCAATCGAATTTTCCAATGAACATACAGTATATTTATTTCTCCTCTAAAGACCCTGAATTCACTAGAAAAGTTTGATGAATTCATCGCAAAACTTCCACACCTCTTTTGAGCACTCGTTAAATTTTACGCAGGAAATTAAATTTTAAACTTATGTATGTGCTCATGTGAAAAATTCCGATCAGTGTAAAAATACGAAAAAAATTAAATCTTGCTGTTAAATGTTACGATAAAACTTTTTCGTAATGGCAACAATGAGAAAGAAGACAAGAATTTTTTAAAATAATATAATTATCTTTGGCAGAAAAGTTCTTCGCTTTTTGGTATAAAAAAATTGCGGTAAAATTATTTAAGAGGTGGGATGCCATTACTGCACTAAATTATTTTCACCGCAATTCAAAATCATTTGTCATTTAATTGAAAAAAAATATTTTTCCTCTTATGAAACGTGTATACAGTAATATTCATCAATTGGCATGATTGAGGATGAATTAGCATCTTCATATAATTTTGCTGCGAGTATTTTTGTGGGACCTGTGATGTGAAACCAATCAGCCATTTTAAATGATTCGTGCACTATAAATATTTCGTGTGTGATTAATAATAACAGATCATCAAGTAATATCTTTTTCTTCCGCGGTTAAATTAATGTCGCGAGCTAAAGGAAGACACGCTTGATGTCTCTCTGTCTCTTACGCGAGTTAAACCGTCTTTTTGGGCAGTTGATATGTAATATTCGTCAACTTGATGCATAAATATCAGGCACCTCGATGCTGACGGCGTGTGCCATATTGGGTCCCCGTTTTTGGCGCATGGTCGGGTTCTGGTCCCGGACGTGGTGGCCCGACAGGAAGTACCTGACAAACGGCAGAGTGGCTGACAGGCACTGCATGGGGCTGTTGATGTAGCAGTCGTTGCAGGCATTCCTGAGTCCCGCGAGGCCGGGCATCGCAGACGCCTGCACCCGCTCCACCGACTCCCAGACGTCCAGGGTTGAGCTGCTCATTTCGGAAGACTTCCGGCGGCTGTCATACGGAGGCAACTGTTTTCCGGAAGGACGATTTGGGAGTCATGATTGTTTTCCCCTCTACAGTATACAGTATATAGCTTCTCTTCTATACAGTATAACCACTTCTTTTATTTGTCACTGCTGAGCTCCTCAAAAAGTAAAAATAAAAAATAAAAAACACACAGACAGCGCAGGTCTTACGATACTTTTTTTTCAGTAGATCCGAACCCAAAAAGAGCACTTCTAATACTCTGAGCTCGGACAAGTTGTCTAATATTGACTCCAACTTGGTCATCATAATAAGGATTCCAAAAATTAATCTTCCCATTTATCTTGCTTTCGATGCTTACATGCTCTCAACTTTTGTAAAAATCCCCGCCCTGGATAAAAAAAAAATAAATATAAAAGCGTGAAAAATATGTTTCTTGAGGATACTATGCGAAATTTTTCTCAACTTTTGTAAAATTCTGCAGGACCAATTTTCTTTTCCGGTCGTCAAACTTTTTTCCATAGAAAAACGGGTACTTTTTTATTTCTGACACGCTTAAAAGAAGAACGACTAGGTTTTTGCAGATATCATTTTACTTATGTACAATAAAAAACTAGGTTGATGTGAACTGAATCGCATCGAAGTAGCTTTCATTATTTTCAATGAAAAGATTGACTGTTTTCAATTTATTGAGACGCACACTCATTTTTCTGCATAGAATTTCAAATATACTGTACATCTGAACTTTAAAAATGTACAATTTATTACTGGTATTGCTTTTCTGATTCCCTTATCAGCATAACTTTTGATTTTTCGAAATTCCAAAAGATGAAAAAAGCTGCTCTTATGTAAGAGCGACAAAAAATTAAGCCAAGATCACTTCGTTTTTCCCACGTGTTGAGGATACAGTAGAATCTCAACAAATCTCGTTATAACAAATAATTGCTTGCAAAAAAAAATCTCTCTAGTTTCTCTAGAATTAATTGTTTGTTACAATGCAGCTAGTGTACTGATGGTCAAACCGTCTTTTCCGCTGTAGCGAGATTTTATTGTAAATTATTTTAGGGAGTGTCCAAGCATTTCTTTCAAGTGATAGTTTCTCTAGAATTAATTGTTTGTTACAATGCAGCTAGTGTACTGATGGTCAAACCGTCTTTTCCGCTGTAGCGAGATTTTATTGTAAATTATTTTAGGGAGTGTCCAAGCATTTCTTTCAAGTGTGGAAATTGATGGAAAATATGCCAAGGAATGGTCTGTGTATAGATTTTACGCAGCAGAATAGGTTTCAATAATTCATGAAAATCGCTGCATGGGATCCTTCTGCAAAGATTTCCCTTTCAATACTGTCGAAAATCCGTATACAGTATACACACAGTATACATATGCACAAAAATGACGCCGAGAGATGGACGAGTTTCCGGTGAAATAATGACCTACTTCCGGGCTGGCAGACGGAGATCCGCTGGACCGCGGCGAGTGTTCAGAAGGCGGAGACTCGTTGCTGCCCACGACATTGTTGTTGTTGTTGTTGGTGCCGATCCGTTGATGGTGATGGTAGTGCTGGTGCTGATGCTGGTCGGGAACTGCGGCATATTTCGGGTTGGTGTCGGGTTGCTGGCTCATTCTTTGTAACTCCGTCCACGACGACTTGTCGTCGGCCCTGATGTGCCCGAGGCGCAACACTGGGCCCGTGATCGCAGCCTGCTGCTGATGGGACTCTGCACGTCTGGTCCGTGGACTTGCGGCCCAAGACTACGACCCTGGACAAGGAGGCGAATCGTGAGACAGGCGACGAACGTTACGACTTACGAAGGGCAACAAAACAAAACCAAACAAACAAACAAACAAAGTTTGTTTTCCCCGCAGCAGCAGCCGCGAAATCGAAAACACAACATTTCAAATTTATGTCCCAAGTATCCTCGCGTTGATTCCAAATTTCTTAGTGTTACAAAAGAATCGCTGCCCACAGATATAAAAAAATCGATATACTCGGTAGGAAACTGATGGGCACTACTTTTTTTGTGAGGAATAAATCGTTATAAAAGATCCGCTGTTCTTGCAAGATTATATTGCAGTATACTGTGTATCATTTCTAATTGAGTGCCACAATAGTTTTGGTGTACATATACATTTTTGAGAAACATACTTCTGCATGCGTAAGAAAAAGCACTATTTACGAAAATAATACCTTAAAAAAGTTAAGCGAGGAAAAAACAAGAATTTAGAATGAAAATTGATCGAGTCCATCGATACCCCGTAGTCGAACTCAAAAAGAATTTGAGGAAAGAAACTATCCTCGTCACGCTGAAATTTAGCACATCAATAAATGATGCATAAAAAAATATGCAGACCAGGCACCTGAACGCCGGGTTCTGATGCTGGGACCTGTTCCTCCGCTTAGCACTCTGTCCGCTGCTTGCAATGCTGAATGCTTCCCGTTGTTTTGTTTTGGTTTGTTTGTTTGTTTGTTTTCCCCGCAGCAGCAGCCGCGAAATCGAAAACACAACATTTCAAATTTATGTCCCAAGTATCCTCGCATTGATTCCAAATTTCTTAGTGTTACAAAAGAATCGCTGCCCACAGAAATAAAAAAATCGATATACTCGGTAGGAAACTGATGGGCACTACTTTTTTTGTGAGGAATAAATCGTTATAAAAGATCCGCTGTTCTTGCAAGATTATATTGCAGTATACTGTGTCTCATTTCTAATTGAGTGCCACAATAGTTTTGGTGTACATATACATTTTTGAGAAACATATTTCTGCATGCGTAAGAAAAAGCACTATTTACGAAAATAATACCTTAAAAAAGTTAAGCGAGGAAAAAACCTCTTAAATCTTACTTTTAACTAGCTCAGGTAGCTATGGGGCATCAGCTTGAGTTTTTCTTAAACTCCTTTCTTTGATAGGAGCAGTGCGACTTTAAATCGTGTAGTTATTTACTACGTATTTTTTTACATGGATAAAAATGAATCTAAGAGAAAAAAATTGCTTCACCAGTATTTGAAGCGCGAAAATAATTGAAAATCGCTTGAATACATCTTTTACTCGAGTTATGAGAATGGTAAATTTGTTTCTCGAAGTTTTTGAAGCAATGTTTCTTTGAAAATTGCCCGATATATTGATTTATAAGAAATGCAAACCAACATTTATAAACTATGCAAGAAAAACTTCGTTTACAGTAACGCACAAATAATCTTTCTTCATCAAAAGTTCTTAACTTCAAGATATATGTGATTGTTGTACGATCAAAACTCTTCAAGGTAAACTCAGAGGGACCCCCACAGATATTTCGGCTCAAACGATACTTCGGAGTTGCAGACAAAACCAGCAGATTTAATGAAAAAATAAAAAAAAAATACAGGACGTTAAAAATGTTGAATCAATCGATAAGTGAGTTGACATGATGCTGAACTTCCAAGTAATACGAGTATATTCGCCCAATTGAAGATAAGTTATTTCATCATTTACTCCTTCTCGAGTGTCCAGGATAATTTCCCCGAGGCCACTAGAAATGTGAGTTACAGACTTACAGTGGTAAGAAGGAGAAAGGCCTTGTGATTTACTATGATTTTTCTGAGAAATGAATTTAATTTCGTTCTCAAAAAATTCAGGCGTAGTCTAAAAAAAAAAATGTACCATCCGGAAGTTCTTGACTTGAAGAAAAAGTTTAACTTTGCATGCAGCAGGTCCAACTGTAGAAATAAATTGGCCAACGGACTCTATCAAAGACTTGGTCATGCAGATCGGCTCCTTATTGAAAATCCAAATCACAACGAATATCCCAAACAACTAATTTTAAATAGGATAAATCCCTTCAAAATTCCCACTCGGGACATATAAAAAGCTACACCTGGGAACAACAACTTCGCCTCCCAGCCAGCGGCGGCGAGCCCGGGACACTGTCCCCAGCAGCCGAAGAATAGTAAGTCGTGGATGCTTCAGTAGCTGACATGGAAAACGGACTCGTCGTCCCGGAAAGTGTAGCATCCCGATCCCGTCGCGGGGCCAGTCCCGTTCGGTGTCGACTGGGAACGTCTTTGGGTGTCGATGGCCTGGCGGGTGGCGATGATCCTCCGCCGCCGCCTTCGCCAGCAGACTCCCGCTTGGGTTTCGCGTCTTCGTCAGCAGTGACCCAGGCCCGCATCTTTTTGCAGGGTCGACTCAGAGAACGGGTCGAGGTGGAGTTGTCAGAGATGCTGGCTGCTGTCTCTCGATTCAGTGTCTCAGTAGTGCGTTGGCTGCTGGAGAGTTTCTTTAGTTTAATTTTTTTTTTCAGGGATACATTAACAGTATAAATATTGTTAAAATGAAGCTACTGCATTAGGACCAGTAAAGTGACCCTCTTGTAACAAACAATAGCTACGAAGAAATTTGAATGACATGATGTCTATCGAGTAAAGAAATACTATCTAACTTGCAAAAAAAAAAGATCTGCTGTTGCAAGATTATATTGCATTATACTGAATCATTTGCTAGTTGAGTTCCATTTATTTTTCGTGAGCACATTCTTAGGAAAATGCATCTATGTGTAAGACAAGCACTTTAATTACCAAAATAATGAATTTCAAAAAATCTATGTGTCGTTAGACTGGAATTTAGAGTACGAATTGATTTTCATCAGTACTGCATTCAAGTTTCGGGCAAAGAAATAATATTTAACTTGTAAAACAAAGATCTGTTGTTGCAAGATTAAATAGCATTACACTGAATTATTTTTTGTTGAGCATTTTATTTTTCGTGAATAAATTCTTTTAAAAATGTATTTATGTGTAAGACAAGCACTTTTATCACCAAAATATTGAATTTGAAAAAATCTATGCGACGTAAAACTGGAATTTAGAATACCAATTGATTTTTATTAGTGCTGTATTCAATTATCAGTATATTGATTGTTAGAATATATTTGAACATAAATAAAAATCACCTGGATTCACCTTTCATTCAAGCCTAAGATAAGCCATTTATCTCCTACTTTTTTAATTTTGTTACATTCAAAACCGACGAATTATCTCTCTTCGTCAAAAGTTCGTAACTTCAAGATATGCGATTGTTGTACGATCTAAACTCTTCAAGTTAAACTCAGAGGGACCCACAGATATTTCGGCTCAAACGATACTTCGGAGTTGCATAGGAAACCAGAAAAAAATAGAAAAAAATTAGAAAAAATAAACCAATAATTATAAATGTTATAAGAAACTGATGGCTTTCGGCTATCAATTTATTTTTTACGTGAAGATCTAAGCTTTTAAAAGGTGAGCAGGTTAATGTACTCTGATGACGGTTCATCAGAAAATTTTTTACTCGTTTGATATTTCTTAAAGAAGGCATTTCATGTTCTATGTTCTTAATTTAGGTAGGACTTTTTTTAAAATCATAAATAGGGTGACGTGGTTGAACTATCAATTGCACAGAAATGCTAAGAAAAAAAAAACACTTTGCCGGCAGATCTAAATTCAGCGCTATGAGGAATCACATTCAAATGCTAATGATTACTCTCTATGAGAACATATGCGCGATACGACAAATATTGAAGATTCACTCAAAAGGAAAAGAATGTATCGTCTGAAAATATTCCAACTGATCAATTATGCCTCTGGAAATGTATTTTGCTTTCATCACCTGCTAATCAAGGAGAGGCTGCTGAAAAATGCAGTGGGAAGGTTGAAATACTGCGCAATTCGAGCAGCGAACATTTGAGACGCGCTGACTGCAGCATCGTCCTGCTGTTGCCGGACATTCCCAGACCCCGGAAGCGTTTTTTCGCTGTTCCGGCGGAATGGATGCTTCAGTAGCTGACATGGAAAACGGACTCGTCGTCCCGGAAAGTGTAGCATCCCGATCCCGTCGCGGGGCCAGTCCCGTTCGGTGTCGACTGGGAACGTCTTTGGGTGTCGATGGCCTGGCAGGTGGCGATGATCCTCCGCCGCCGCCTTCGCCAGCAGACTCCCGCTTGGGTTTCGCGTCTTCATCAGCAGTGACCCAGGCCCGCATCTTTTTGCAGGGTCGACTCAGAGAACGGGTCGAGGTGGAGTTGTCAGAGTTGCTGGCTGCTGTCTCTCGATTCAGTGTCTCAGTAGTGCGTTGGCTGGAGAGTTTCTTTAGTTTAATTTTTTTCAGGGATACATTTACAGTATAAATCTTGTTAAAATGAAGGTACTGTATTAGGACCAGTAAAGTGACCCTTTTGTAAAAAAAAATAGCTACGTAGAACTTTGAATGACATGATGTCTATCGTGTAAAGAAATAATATTTAACTTGTAAAAAAAAGATCTGTTGTTGCAAGATTATATTGCATTATACTGAATCATTTTCTAGTTGAGTGCCATTTATTTTTCGTGAGTACATTCTTAGGAAAATGTATCTATGTGTAAGACAAGCACTTTAATTACCAAAATAATGAATTTCAAAAAATCTATGCGTCGTTAGACTGGAATTTAGAGTACGAATTGATTTTCATCAGTACTGCATTCAAGTTTCGGGCAAAGAAATAATATTCAACTTGTAAAAACAAAGATCTGTTGTTACAAGATTAAATAGCATTACACTGAAATATTTTTTTGTTAAGTACCATTTTATTTTTCGTGAATAAATTCTTTTAAAAATGTATTTATGTTTAAGACAAGCACTTTAATCACCAAAATATTGAATTTGAAAAAATCTATGCTACGTAAAACTTGAAGTTAGAATACCAATTGATTTTTATTAGTGCTGTATTCAATCATCAGTATATTGATTGTTAGAACAATAACAATTTATTTGAACATAAATATAAATCACCTGGATTCACCTTTCATTCAAGCCTAAGATAAGCCATTTATCTCTTACTTTTTTAATTGTATTGCATTCAAAACCGACGAATTATCTCTCTTCGTCAAAAGTTCGTAACTTCGAGATATGCGATTGTTGTACGATCTAAACTCTTCAAGTTAAACTCAGAGGGACCTACAGATATTTCGGTTCGAACGATACTTTGGAGTTGCATAGGAAACCAGAAAAAAATAGAAAAAAATTAGAAAAAATAAACCAACAATTATAAATGTTATAAAAAACTGATGGCTTTCGGCTATCAATTTATTTTTTACGTGAAGATCTAAGCTTTTAAAAGGTGAGCAGGTTAATGTACTCTGATGAAGACGGTTCATCAGAAAATTTTTTACTCGATATTTCTTAAATAAGGCATTTCATGTTCTATATGTTCTAAATTGAGGTAGGAATTTTTTTTATCATGTATAGGGTGACGTGGTTGAACTATCAATTGCACAAAAATGCAAAGAAAAAAAAAACACTTTGCCCGCAGATCTAAATTCAGCGCTATGAGGAATCACATTCAAATGCTAATGATTACTCTCTATGAGAACATATGCGCGATACGTCATATATTGAAGATTCACTCAAAAGGAAAAAAAAATTATCTTCTGAAAATATTCCAACTGAATAATTATGCCTCTGAAAATGCATTTGGCCTTCATCACCTGCTAATCAAGGAGAGGCTGCTGAAAAACGCAGTGGGAAGGTTGAAATACTGCGCAATTCGAGCAGCGAACATTTGAGACGCGCTGACTGCAGCATCGTCCTGCTGTTGCCGGACATTCCCAGACCCCGGAAGCGTTTTTTCGCTGTTCCGGCGGAAATCCTTCCTCCTGCAACGTCCATCCTCGCAATCCCGTTTCCCCATTCACATCTCGTTCCCTCAAGGAATATTATACTCGGTTTCTTTTTCACTTCCTTTATAAATATGTACTGCTCATCAGTGCATGTTTCAAGGACGAGACACAGCGAAGGTTTTTCAATCCTCCAGCAGAGCCTCTCTTTATTTGCGGTAATGTGAGAGGAATAGAAGGAGGTGAAGTAGGGGTAGAAGAAGATTTAGATTAATCCGCTTAATTAGTGCATTTTCCGCTTCATGCTTATACACAGCCGAGGGATTATAGACGCATTAATCAGCGCCTCGAGATCCGGTTTTGTGAACGCTGAAGGTGTGAACCTGAGTTGCCGAGAACATGGCAATTTTGCAGCTGACAGATATTTAAACATGCCATAATCGAAGTTTTAGCTGTTGTGATAATAAATCCCCAGGCGATCAGGGTTCTGTAATTTCCATAAATTTGACTGTCACCAGTTTGGAAGTTGAGGATTATTTTCAAACAGCGCTTTGTAATCACCACGTTTGTTTTTTTCATAATTATGGGCTGAGGAAATTTTCAGCGAAATACGAACCTGCTTTTAACGAGTCAAAAATGAGTAAAAATTGCTTTTATTCATCTTTTACTCGAGTCATAAGGTCGGGAATTTTTCTGCCGAAATTTTCGACGTAATTTTCTTTATAAATTGCCTGATGCTGCTTTACAATAAATGCAGACCAGCATTTATAAATTTTGCAGGAAACTCTGTTTAAAACGCACAAATTATTTTTTTACATAAATTCTTGTGAATGTTGTGCAGTCAAATCGAGTTTGCTAAGTTTTTCAGTTGGGTGGGAAACCACCATATTTGTTATAGTTTTCAGATTGAAACGTTTCATTTTTGGTTGCCATGATCTAAGCAATGAGCTGACGAATTTTTTCCATAGAAAAAACCCGCTTAATCATTTTACAAGTCTATATGCATGAAGCACAGTAACTGATATGAACCGAGAAACTTGACCTGCTATGTCACTGAAAACCTTGAGAATTTGCAATGTGATCCCGGTGCAATGTGAAATACCATCTTTCATGCCTCCAAAGTTCATCGTCGACACGAAAGTACGCGAGAAAAATGAATGCCAAACATTTCAGCTGAACCGGGTCGAATTTTTTGCATTTTTATTCTCCGCATCCAGGAGAAAATCAAACTTTCAGATCTCTTTTTGTCGCCGAAAACTTTGGTTCTCATTCACAAGTTTTCTTCCGTCTCACACTCAATGACGGGTTTCACGCATACGAAAATATGCTTTTCCTCGAAAAGCCTGTGCTCCTAAATTTTTATTTTCCACGCATTTTTTTTGGTACACTTGTCTATCTATTTTGCTGCCACACTGCATTCTTTTCATTTTTTTTGCGCAGCTGCCGAAATTACATGTTTGAACGAAACAAGATCGCCGACAAATTTTTTTTGCAATATCACGTGCGGCGCTCGGATCTAATAAATTGTTTGTTTAGAAATCAAACAATATAACAACAACAAAAAACAAACAAGTGAAACACTCAGAGCTGCCTCGGATTTCTTTTGTCAATGACCGTGGGTTTCTAAAAAACTCTTTCCTCGTTCGTCGCTTTTCGTTTTCCTTTCGCTCGTCTCTTTCTCATAAAAATGCCTTTTTGCAGAATGATTAATTTTCTTTTTGAACTCCCCGAAAATCTTTCGCCTCGGAAATCGGATTTCAGCGGTCATGCGGCATATGGTCCAAGTTTTTTTTCTAAAGCTATTCTCCTTCGAGAGAAGACGGGGCAAGATCACTTTAGGGCACATTTTCCATGGGAAAACAGAGTTGCCGGGGGTGTTCAGAAAGTTCTTCCGCCTGAAGAATAAAGGATACGATCAGAAATAGTTTCTCTCTTATTTCTATATAGGTCCTCATTGTCATCGAAGAATAATCTGATTCTTGACAAAATAAACCCCTTTTTTCCTGTGTGACACCAGCAGCGGCCTCTTGATGAAGACTGCTGCCATTTACCTGAATATTTTCTTCTAAAAGGTTTCAGACGTCTCTCTCTGAACACCCCTCGCATCATATGAATAATGTCTTTTCTGAAATAACCTTAACCGGGGCAGCCAGTGTCATAAGAGGTCCTGTGGAAATGCAACGACTTGTCCAAAGAAGCGACTTCGCGTTTTGTTCGCAAGCGACTGAGTCTGGTTGCCAAGTAGCACATGATGATTGCTGACAACAGCAACATGGCGCCCATGATGGCCGCCACCACGAGGTACGTGTCGCAGGTCAGAGGAATGATGGACTGCGAGTGGTAATATTCGTCTGAAAGAGTTAAAAATTCCGAATTAATGAACAGTAATTCCTTTTTTTTTTGTGTAAGCTGTATACACTATGGAGATATGACTTGAGTAGATATGGGTAGACATTTTTTTTTCAAGTTTTGGAATTTTCAGGTGTGCTATATACGCTTGATTCTAATGGAAAATTTTGGATCAATAAAAAACCCATTTAAATGGAAACAATTGACAATTAATTGAAATTAGGTTCAAGTCATGTCTAAATTCAAATTTGGTGGTTGTATTTTTTGAAATATTGCAGGAACTGAAGATTCTAATATGGTGGCTTACTTGGGAATATTGAACTGCACTTTCTGATTGTGGCTACATTGTATATAGTATTCGGGTCCCTATATAGCATTAACTATTCAATCCCAGATGGAATTTGGCCATGCAAAATTGTCGTTCTGTTGGTCAAGGTTCCTTCGTAAATTCTTTTAAAAAATTTGTAATTACAGGCGACCACAAAAGCATGTATGCAGAAAATGAATTTGATTGATTGAGTTGAACGTGTACAATTTTTAAAATGTTGCCAAGAAAAAGTTCAAAAGGCGGAAGATTGAAAATGTCATAAAATGATTAAATTAAATTAATGACATATAAAATTATTTTTACGTTTGTAAAATTATCCACAATTTTTTGAAAGTCAAGTATGCCAGAATTGTTGAGCGTGCTTTTAAAATACCTGGCATGAATTGGGAAAGATTTTCAAAAGTTGATTCGCATAGATTGCTGCATTTTTGCTCTAAAATTATCCAAGTTTCGTTTTAGAGAGATTTTCGTTCGTCATTCAGATTTGTCGTTATATTCGGGGATTCAATCTGCTTTACTTGGTATAGTTCAGGGCTAAAATCAATTTCAATTTTTATGCCACCTTATTTGGCCCAGAAAATTTCGAGGAAATTTTTTTTCGAATTTTTCCACCGATGAAAGTGCATGAATAATTTCAATTATGCAATATCATCATCTCACCTCCCGGCAAAATCACTCGAACCCCGATGTTTTGCCCAATGTCCTTGCTGGGTCCTCGTCGGTCCCGTTCCGCCGTTTTGTTTTGAAACATTCGCTTCGCCGACATCAATTGTTCCTCGAATTCCGGGGTCCACAAATCAGCCGGAACGTGTTTCTGGATAATGCTGGGGTCCAGGTCCAACCAGCTCCAGGGATCCTCGGTGTCGTTTCTGGTCAGGCTCGAGTCGTTTGTCAACAAACTCCTGCGTCTTCGTCCGTGTCCGGACGGTTGGAACAGGTCCAGGCAAAATTCCTGCCGCGATGAAAATTTTATGAAAGCAAAACTTTTGTTTCCGGCTGATTCATCCGAGTTGACTCGTCGTCGTCGTGAATGAAAAAAAAAANCCGGGGGTGTTCAGAAAGTTCTTCCGCCTGAAGAATAAAGGATACGATCAGAAATAGTCTCTCTCTTATTTCTATATAGGTCCTCATTGTCATCGAAGAATAATCTGATTCTTGACAAAATAAACCCCTTTTTTCCTGTGTGACACCAGCAGCGGCCTCTTGATGAAGACTGCTGCCATTTACCTGAATATTTTCTTCTAAAAGGTTTCAGACGTCTCTCTCTGAACACCCCTCGCATCATATGAATAATGTCTTTTCTGAAATAACCTTAACCGGGGCAGCCAGTGTCATAAGAGGTCCTGTGGAAATGCAAGGACTTGTCCAAAGAAGCGACTTCGCGTTTTGTTCGCAAGCGACTGAGTCTGGTTGCCAAGTAGCACATGATGATTGCTGACAACAGCAACATGGCGCCCATGATGGCCGCCACCACGAGGTACGTGTCGCAGGTCAGAGGAATGATGGACTGCGAGTGGTAATATTCGTCTGAAAGAGTTGAAAATTCCGAATTAATGAACAGCAATTCATTTTTTTGTGTGTAAGCTGTAAGGACGTATGACTTGACTCGGGTACCTTGAGTAGGTATGGGTTGAACATTTTTTTTTTTCAAGTTTTGGAAGTTCAGGTGTGCCATATATACTGTGCTTGATTGTAATGGAAAATTTTGGATCAATTTTTAACCAAAAAACCTATTTGAAAGGGAAAAATTGAAAATTAATTGAATTCAGGTTCAAGTCATGTTTAAATTCAAATTTGGTTGTTCTAATTTTTGAAATATTGCAGGAACTGAAGTGTGTCTTACTATTGGGAATATTGAACTGCACTTTCTGATTGTGGCTACATTTTATATAGTATTCGGGTCCCTATATAGCATTAAACTATTCAATCCCAGATGGAATTTGGCCATGCAAAATTGTCTTTCTGTTGGTCAAGGTTCATTCGCAAATTCTTTAAACAAATTTGTAATTACAGGCGACCAAAAAAAGCATTTATGCAGGAAATTAATTTTATTGATTGAGTTATGCGGGTACAATTTTTAAAATGTTGGCAAGAAAAAGTGCAAAATGCGGAAGATTGAAAATTTCATAAAATGATCCGATTATATCAATGACATACAAAATTCTTTTTACATTTGAAAAATTATCCACTATTTTTTGAAAGTCAAGGATGCCAGAATTGTTGGGCCTGCTTTCAAAATTATACCTGGCATAAATTGGGAAAGACGTTCAGAAGTTGATTGCTGTATTTTTGCTTTAAAAATGTCCAAGTTTCGTTTTAGAGAGATTTTCGTTCGTCATTCAGATTTGTCGTATATATTTGGGGGATGCAATCTGCTTTACTTGGTATAGTTCAGGGCTAAAATCAATTTTAATTTATGCCACCTTATTTGGAGAAAATTTCGAGGAAAGTTTTTTTTCAAATTTTTCCACCGATGAAAGTGCATGAATAATTTCAATTATGCAATATCATCATCTCACCTCCCGGCAAAATCACTCGAACCCCGATGTTTTGCCCAATGTCCTTGCTGGGTCCTCGTCGGTCCCGTTCCGCCGTTTTGTTTTGAAACATTCGCTTCGCCGACATCAATTGTTCCTCGAATTCCGGGGTCCACAAATCAGCCGGAACGTGTTTCTGGATAATGCTGGGGTCCAGGTCCAACCAGCTCCAGGGATCCTCGGTGTCGTTTCTGGTCAGGCTCGAGTCGTTTGTCAACAAACTCCTGCGTCTTCGTCCGTGTCCGGACGGTTGGAACAGGTCCAGGCAAAATTCCTGCCGCGATGAAAATTTTATGAAAGCAAAACTTTTGTTTCCGGCTGATTCATCCGAGTTGACTCGTCGTCGTCGTGAATGAAAAAAAAAAAAGCTTGGTGCGATTTGCGAGATTGGCAAAAAAAAAAACCGTGCTGAATTTTTGCTCGCATGCAACTGCTGATGATGGCGGTGCGGGGGGTTTTCAATTCAAGTTTATCGATACAACTTCTGGGATGTACGAGAACGATTTCAAAATAGAAGAGAATGAAAGTTGAATTTGATTTTTCTGATGAACTATTGTTCGTCTACGACGATCATTGAAACCCGAATTGTCAAAACTACTTTAATGCTGCAAACCATCGCAAAACTGAAAATGCTAGGCTCAAATATATGTTCATTTAACGCGTATTTTAATGACTAAAATTATCAAAATATATTTCAAGTGGAAAAAAAAGGTTGACTCCCTCCAGTATGAAATACAATGGGTAAGAAAAATAGCTCAAGAGAAAAATGTTGTTGTAAACGAAAAAATCGTTGTATGTAGACAAGATCGTTGTAGATATACGAGTGTACTTATTTCAGGGTATATAATGTTGAAATTTTTCTGATTTACATCAAGCTTTCCGTTTCTTCGAGATATTTCAGTTTTAAACTATTTCTGACCATCCTCAGAATTAATTTCCAGCAGAGATCCACTTAGACATATTTTAATGCATGAATCTGATGAAAAATGTGTCATATCGTATTTATGACGCAAAAGTAACTGGTCGGACCAAAATTAGAGGCATTATAACTGCTCCATTAAAAAAAACTGGCCCAACAATTTGAAATTATGTCATTTCCTGAATGAGCAAATTTCATTTGAAGAGGGCCAGTTTCTCTTGTGTGAATTTTTATGGGAAATTAATTCTTTTTTTTTGCATTTTCGGAGTGCTAAAAAGCCAATTGAAATTCCCTGAACAGACAGGTGTGTAAGAAGTGCTTAAGGTTTTCAAAAAGAAAAAATCTTGGGTGGGAAAGAAAGCATCAGTTCGGCGTTCCTCGACGAAATGTAGGGGAGGAAATGTCGAGTTCTACTGCGGAAATTCCTCNTTTTTTTTTGCATTTTCGGAGTGCTAAAAAGCCAATTGAAATTCCCTGAACAGACAGGTGTGTAAGAAGTGCTTAAGGTTTTCAAAAAGAAAAAATCTTGGGTGGGAAAGAAAGCATCAGTTCGGCGTTCCTCGACGAAATGTAGGGGAGGAAATGTCGAGTTCTACTGCGGAAATTCCTCCTCGATCTACATCCTTCCAGCTTTTGGCTCGTTGTCAGCAGCTGTCAGGAGTTTGCTTTATTTTCTGGTGGTTGTTGTTGTTGTTGTTGTTGTTGTGTATCCTTGAGGAAATTACTCACTGGCAAACAATCAACAGCCTCGGTGCAAGCTTTCAGCGTGGAGTGCACCCACAATTCGTCATTCGGCTTCATGTAGTCCAAAAGAAAGGCTTCAAACTCCACGACCACCTCGTGCAATTTGTCCTTGCGGCGAAATGGCTGTCCGGGCATTATGGACGAGTACTCTTGGTTCCTACACCTGGTGGGTTCGAGCGTGGGTGCAACATTCATTCACTGATCTTTCGTGCAGATTGGCACACATTTTTTTTGAGGGCCTTGAAATCTCAAAGCGAAGCAGTGAATTCCGTGAGAAGCGAAGCCAAGCATTTTCAACAGCGGAAAATTCATGCAGCAAAACGCGAGTGTCTTCCAAAAAAAAAAAAATATTATCCCAGAAAGGCCAAGAACAGAAAAAAGTGGTTTAAAAAATTCGAACTTTTCGGAAAGTCATGAATGACTGAATAAAATTATATATTTTTGTCGTAAAAGATATATCAGACTGAAGCAATAGAAAAAAAAGTCGAGTGAATCATTCGAGTGATTTAATCGAGAAGCGAGGGAGACCAGAATTTTTTATTGCTGCTAAAATAATATTTCACTACCAATTTTTACAGAAAATAATCGTTGTCCCAAAAAACAACATCAACTTTCTTTAATTTCTTTCGACGCTAATCAGATTTTTTTTTAGCCCGGTGAACGACGAATTCTAATTTTTATGCTCGCTAAACACTCGAAATTGCTTAAACGAAGACTTCAAACATTTTCTAAAACGTTGTAGACGGTAATTTTTTTTTAGATATGTGGGTCTTTTTTTCCATCCCCGACGACTTCAAATCGAGTTTTGCTTGTCAACTTTCGTGATTATCTGTTCATGACTTTCAGAAACATTTTCATTTCCGTCAGTTTAATGACGCGTGAATCGCCTTTCATCCGACGCTTATTTTCTTGCTAAAAATATGAGAATTGCAAAGAAAGTTCTTTCGACCTGTCAGAGGAAAGATTATCTCGTCGGAACCTCATTTTTTTTCGCGCTTCCGAAAAAAAACCTTACCTTCTTCGTTGCCCCCCCACTCAGAACAAGATGATAGCTTTGCGAAGAGAGCATTCGAATCAATGCATCGATCTCAAATACATGCGACTTTTCCGTCAACGATCAATGAAAAGCTTGAAACAAAAACTGGGCTTTAAAAATAAAAGAAGCGGTGGAAGGGAAGCGTGTGTATATATAGTGCCTTTGATGTTCGTGTGTTGACGACCTTTTTTTTTCTCTTGCAGTGCTTTTTGCGCGTTGAAAAGCTGCATAATACGAGAGGCGTCTCGAAAGTCTCGCGAATCACCATAATCCTTTTTTATTTTTATTATTGATTGAGTATAAAATCTGATCTTTAAATTTACGCATTTTACTTTTATTTTATGAATTGAATCGAATACTGGAACATGTGGAGTTTAAATACGTTATTGGATAGGAATCGATTCGAGGCTTCTCCCATTGATATTGATGTACGCGGACGTGAGCAAACAAAAATCACAGGCTTCAAAAGTTTGCGGGATTCTCCTTCAATTGGAATGAAATGCGGACGAAATTTACTTAAAAGGTATGAGATCTGATATGCATTTCGAACTCCATTTATTCCTTTGTCAAACATGATTATGATGCGATTAAAAGTAAGTAATGAAGTTCAAATGTCATTTGATACAGTGGAACCTTTTCAAGTCAAACTTGTACAAGGGACTAGCAACAAAATCGAGTTAGGGAGGTTTTGAGTTGAAGAAATTAGCATTTTGTTGGGAGAAAGAGCGAACATTTTCAGGAAATGCTTCTTAAATGAGTTGAAAGGATACTGAAGGTGAGAATTTGTAAGCCAAATTAGTCTTTCACTTCTTTTTAAAACACGTCAAGTGACATTTTTCCTGCTTTTCTCTTCCCTGTGGCAATAAAATAATAACCAAACGTCTTCAAAGAATTAAAGTTACAGAGGCTTGAGGGGGAAAATATTCGAGTTGAAGAGGTTTCCAATGAATTGTTTCTAAGAGAATTGAGGCCGTTAATTAAACATATTCACATCGGGAAGCATTCGACTTTGTGAGGTTCGAGGTATTGAGGCTAAATTTTTTATATATAGCGCTGCAGATCTGTATAGTAAATTCCAGGAATGATTTAAGAAAAAAAGTCACATAATCCTATTTTTATGATCACTTTCGTGCGGAATCTTTCTGCAGATTATGAGACAACACTTCTCAAAGAGCTCTGATCAGCCGTTTTCGTCTAAATTTACATTAAGAGGGAGCGCAATATCCTTAAAATTTTAGTTTTCATTTTTGTTAAAATCGATGATTCGAAAATGTTCACACACATATTACTCGAATGCATGAAGCAGCTGAAAGAATTTAATTTCGGGAGTCTTGAATATTCATGTCACTAAATAATGCAGACGCGCGAATGAATTTTCTGGACGGATGAATAGCGTCATATGCCACTTTCTTGAATAATTCAGAAGACTATAATTGACAATTTCTTGGTGATTATAACGAGACCTTACCAGAAACCTCTCGTATTATTTTTTTAATTTTTTTAATGCTGGGACTCACAGCGAGACAATCAACGGCGTTCATGCACGCCTTGATCTTGGAGTGGATCCAGAGCTGGTTCTGGTAGTTGATGTTGTCGAGGAGGAAGGCTTCGAAGTCTATCATGACCTCGCCCGGGTTCGTGGGTGATCTGTGGGGCTGTTTCGGGATTATGCCCGCCAGCTCTGGGGACCTGCATCTATACACATTTCCCCCAAATTTATTCAAATTGAGACGATTGCTTCCGATCAGTCAAGATGACTCAAATACTGTAGCATTCCTGCTGCGCCAAGGAATGACAGGGGTTCGGCTCCGAAATCAACTCAAACCGATGGATCATTTCCGGGTATATTTTCATGAATTTTTTCGCGGGAAACGGGTTCAATTATATTTTTTCAGTTCTGCTGGGGTTTCTAGTACAAGATGATATTTCATTGTCTCCAGGGTGCGAATTTTGAGAAGAAATCAAAAGTATTCTGCTCGCTTTGAACGAATGAGTTTGGCTGAAGTTTTTCAACTCATCGTAATAAGAGTAGAGCGATCAATATTTCATTATAATTAAAAATATTCATCGCGATTATGCTGTGGAAGGTCTGATACTTATTTTTTAAAGTCAGATTTTATATATTTTTTTCCGTTTTTTGCGTCATCAATTTGGAATGCGTATGTGTTACGTTGGAATTTCAAATATTGATATAAAATAAAATAAAGAACTGCAGTTAGGAACAAACGGCAATGTCAGCAAATCAGCAACAGGGCTTGCTTTCAGTTTTGATTTTACTTCCTGATGTAATTTTTTAAAGGGTTTCTGATATCGAATGTGCAAATTTCTACTAAATTTATTCAAATTGAGACGATCGCTTCCGATCAGTCATGGTTTGGTTCCGAAATCAGCTGAAACTGATTCCTATAATTTCCAGGAAATCATGAATTTTTCTTGGGAAATGAGTTGAAATAATTTTTGTTCAGCGCTGGGTTTAGTTTACATTGAATTTTATTTGATCATCTCCATTTTTGATTCTCCAAGGTGGGAGTTTTAAGAAGGAAACAAAATTATAATCTTCTTTGAACAAATGAGTTTTGCTCGATGTTTTCCAATTCGCAAGAAAGTGCTATCAAGATTTCAATGAAATTATGAATATTCTCGACGACTATTTAAAAGGTCTGAAATATTTTTTTCATGGTGGATGTCATATTTTCTTGCCGATTTTTTGCCAGACATATTGAATGTCTGAGTAATGCTAAAATAAACTTCCTTTCAGTCTTTTCTTATTTATTTCCCAGTTAAGTGACGGTTTTCTGACTCAAAAATGTGGTTGGCCAAAGAACTTCATTTGCGAAAAAAAGTACAAACTTTTTTGGGACATCCCTCGTATTTTGAAGTAAATCAGTGGGTTTCACCACGAGTTGGGTGCGATCCCCTGCTGCTGGTATAGGTAGTTTTTCTGAATAAAAAAACCCAAGAAAACCTCTACTCATTGCAAGTCATTTTGTCGATAGTCGATATTTTGCAGAAGTGCGTCGGAGGGGTGAGAGATCCTGGGAAATCGCTCCTGCTGAAACCCTCTATTTTAGGGGTTAATTTTTCAGCGGCCTGAAGGCTGGAGACCCCCACAGGGAATCGCGGAAAACACTTCTGGGATGGAGAAAGGCAATCTCTGCTTTATGTATTCGGGGTGCTCGTTCCCTTCGTTGGATCCATATTTTAACCTTGAAGGGCACACTGAAGTTTTATTCATCTCCTAAACGAAGGTTGAGAAGCTGTATTAAAATTCAATTTTATAATCTAGAATTCCTTAGACGAGTGCTAAGAAAAGAAAAAAAAAGAACAGACGGCAGGAATAATGCCTGAATTTTACCGGCAAGATATGCAATGGACCCATGAGAAGCCAGGTTCTTTTATGCCATGAAAATACACCAGAATATGCTGAATCACTCAGTCATCTATCCTCAGATAATTTTTTTTCTTGTGAAGATTTTTTGGAAATACGTTTGCGACGTGTTTGTACTTGTAGAAGTGCTGAGGTTTTTCACTCGTAATCTCACCCAATTATACTTTACATCGAGAGTAAAATGTTTGCCAGAAAAGTCTCGGAAGTTCAAAAGATAAAATTTACAAACCTGAACTGTATCGACCTTATTTTGTCATTTAATCTTAAGATTAACCGGTTTCTTTATTTTCGAAATGAATTTCTTTGGTGTTCCGATATTTCAATGAAGTATTTCTAAGCCACGAGAAAATTATGCTTCACTTAGAAGATAAATGCGCCTGTATTTCATCAGGAACATACCTTCCAACGTCTTTTCATAATGCATTTGGTTCCTTTTAAAATTTACTGAAATTAATTCATTAAATCTGCCGAATTAAATAATTCCAATCGTTATGTCATTTGAATTTTTTTTAAATCTAGTTCAGGTAAACCAAATCTTTTGAAACCTGTTGTTTTAATCATGGGTTCCTTTTCTATAGGTCCTAATTCAAAAGAGAAGATTACGGAGGATTAATTTTTATTTTAAAATATACGACTTGTAACGACTCATTATTTTGATGCTTATGAAGGCTTTACTTGGAGTAAAAAGCGACCGTTTCCGTCGACCATAAGCTCAATTAGGGTACACTACCTACTGGAAGTATCAGATTTCGACCAAAGACCAACATTATCCAGGGCTACTTTTATGAAAGTTTAGATCAACTACACCCAGTTCATCCACATTTCACCGAAATTCTGGAGAAAAAAATAAGTTTTTTATATGGATCAATAAAATACTGGGAAAACAGCTTCAAGTTTCAAGTGACGAACGAATACAATAAAATAACAAACAAAAAACCTTTGGGAACTCCAGAAAAGTTTGTCATACAGAATACTTTGTTGTAACGAGATTTTTCAAATGGATGATGAAACAATTTTCACAGCAGACCTGCCTATGATCAATTATAACTTGCTTTTCTGGCATATTCTAAGATTGTATCCGTTATTGGTTGAAAAACCGAGTGATCTTCTGAAAAATACTCAACTTCAATTACGCATTCCATCAGTTGCACAAATCTCTTCGTTCTGGGTAAAATGATTTGTGGAACCAATTGACTAAGATTGTATCCGTTATTGGTTGAAAAACCGAGTGATCTTCTGAAAAATACTCAACTTCAATTACGCATTCCATCAGTTGCACAAATCTCTTCGTTCTGGGTAAAATGATTTGTGGAACCAATTGAAAGCATGTTTTTCATTGATTAAAACTTCCAATGATGCTACGAGAACCAGTCAGTCACATTTGGGATTGAAAATTTCAGACTTTACCTGCCTTAAATTCAAGAAATTTCTACCTCGAAAAAAAAAGCTTTGAAAAGCTTGTTACACTGGAATTGAGACTTTTGTTATAACAAGGATGTTTTGAAATCTACTCTATGTATAGCCGGGTATTGAGAAACAGTTTTGTCATGCTAAAAAATTGCAGAAACGAGATGATTTTGTAACCAATTACACGCGCCACAATTTCCTCTTGCAAAAGCCGGCCAAGTGGAAAGAAGTCATTGACACTCACGGTTCCGCTGACTCTCAAAACTCGTAATTATCTCAGCAGAAAAGTACTGTACCTCGTGGTTAAGATTGGGACAACTTTGAAATACGAAAAAGCCGACTCGGGAAATGTCACGTATTATATACAGAACTTTCTTCCAAGATTCCACTCAGCCACCAGCACGAATAAGTAGATTATATCCGTCTATATACTTTCCACTCGTTCTCTTCTTCTCCCAATTAAAAGTTTCCGGGATTGCGGTTCAAGTCCTCTCATCATCTCATCAACGGCTTGGAAACGAGGCTTTTAACGAGATGAAATCGCGGATGAAATCTCGACTACGACGCCCTTTGTTTCAGAATATCACGGTCATCGTGGTGAAGACTGTTAGCTGACATTCCAACGTCCCCCCCCCCCTAAATATTCATTTCCGTGGAAATTGTGAATACTGTAATTAATCTCTCAAAGTCGTAGAATACGTCGCAGCTTAAATATAGTGTAACTACGATAATCTCGCATTCAATGAGACCTTAAACGGTTAAAAAGATTATTTTTTACGCAACTTTTTAAACTCAAACCGTATAAAAAACAGGTAACTGATATACTACTCCGGAAGTTTTAAAGTCTTAAGCGTCTACCCTTCCTTCTTTCATACTTATTTTTCTACGCTAAAGTTTAAAACGTGTTCCTAAAAGGGCCGCTAAAAAGCTCAGCGCTAGTAACAATGGATCTTTATCAAACCCATGTAATTTTTCAACCATTCAAATTGCGGTGACCTTCGAAAGAGCAAATTTATTGTACCTCAAGCGTGTTTCTGAATGCAAAATTTTTTGTTTTTGCCTGCGCAGATTTCCCCCTCAATAAATGGCTTCCCCGACTGCAGTATATATAATCGCGTGGAAACACGGTATTTCCTACTGAAAGTCCAGCTAGGGAAAATCGCAAAGCACTCTCCGAGGGCTGAATGTTTTCTGACGTGTTAATGTCGAAAGCACTCTGCGTTTGACAAGGGCATAGAGAGCAATTTGCTGCTGATGTTTGAAGACACGAAAACGAGAGCACGAATAGGGACTTACCCGTTTTGCACAAGCACTATGTGACCTGGGGCCTGCGGGTCTTCCGGGCTGTTGGAAACCGTCACGTCGACCAGCTTGGCGTATTTCCACGCTGTCGACATCAAGAACCACGTGATGATGAGCATTATTTGCAAGGAATCTTTTTTCTTTTAAATATGTTTGCATGATATATTTCAGGCATTCAAAAAATTACTGTTTTGTGGAATAAATAAGTAATTATTCGATGCTTTCGAATTTTGGAGGGGAAATAATAAAAAAAAGTCTCGTATAATTCGTAGTTGGAATGTAAAAATATTTTGAAAATTAGTGCTCAAAGCATGTGAGGTGTGGTAAACATATTTATAAATACACATGCAGGTGGAATCTCTCTAATACGAGCCTGTCTACAAAGATTTTCACTGTACGAGTATAACGATTTTTTTGCGTGTCTCATAGGGTTCTTTCCCCCAGCTACAGGGGGTTCTCTATACAACGACATTCTCTCGACGAAGAATATTTTCTATAGTCCTCTGAATTTTTTTGGCAGAGAGTGAGAGAGAGAGAGAGTTTATATAAATATATCTATATATAATATATTTAACATGAAAATTCCAGAAAGAAACCAATCCAAAAACAATAAATTATTAATTTACGAGGACAATCTTTTCATAAGGCTGAAAACAATACGTGGAACAGATCATGTTTTCCCACAAAAGCTGCTTAGACCCGACAAAAATTCGTTCGACGAAGAATAGAGCTGTAACTATAGACATAATCAAGGAATATTTCGTTCAGAAACTTATTAAAATCTCAAAATACGTGAGCAATTCACTTTTAACGCGGGATTATTTCGAAATACAAATGATAATCGCGGCGGATTATGCATCAATTAATGTGCTTGCCAGGAATTTTTCGAAAAATACGACTCATATTTCCAACCAAATTTCAGTGCTTCGTGGTTTTTCTGTGCTTGAAAGAAGCAGAAGATTCCTAATATGGTTTGGGTGAGTTTCGAAAACGAAACTATTTTTTTCGCTATTCATTGTTCCATTAAAAAAAATATTGCTCGGCTGAATATAATTAACAGAAAATAATATCGACTCACAAGAAAGAGTGTTGATGGTTGCCCTGAGCTGCAACTTAGTGCCGATGGGCACTGCTTCATCAACTGGCACACTGAAATCCCCACTTTGCGGGGTTTCTCGGTAAAGTGCAACCAAATACTCCAATTTTCCGGGAGATTCCTCCACAATCCCCGAGATCCGGCCCTGGTTCGGTCTGACGTCGAGAGTTTTCCAAGGCATCAAGAGTAACGTTGTAAAAAAAAAAAATAGGGAAGAAAAATCCTGCATTAGTTTTATATTCTAAAAAAAAAACCAGGAAGGAAGAATAACGAAAGAAAGCATGCTTTGAAGTGGTTGAGAGTGTGGATTCAGTGTCCGTTTCTGCTTCCATTGCGTGCCTGAGAAAAGAGGGAGGAATTCATCCTCAAATCTTATTCAAAACCTAAAAATGCCTAAATTGCTCTTTTCCTTTGAAGAACTTTTAAAATGTATTTATTGCTCTCTCCATAGCTCTCCTAATCAGGCAATCAACGGACGCGGTTTCAGCGGAATCAGGAAGAAGTGTTTTCACAGAGATCAGAGGGAAACGTGTTGAATATTCTGCTACGGCAGAAAACGCAGTTTTTTCATGTCAACAGCTCCTTGAAGCATCATAGTCCTTAGCGTTTTCATGGGGTACTGGAGTTAGACGTATACAGTACTAGTTTTAAGTTTGCCAAGAAATTTTCGATGAGTTTAGTGCATGATTAGAGCTGACGTATTCATATGAGCTATCTATTTTCAGCGAGTCTTTCTTGGTTCATGCACCAATAAATTATCGCGGACAGAAAATCTTGACAAGAAGTAATTCGCAGACCAAGAAGATTTGCTTCAGGAAAAGGCGAGGAAATTAATTTGCACAAAATATTTTCTTGTCACAAAACTTTCTGACGTGAAAAAATGTTCAGTGACAGAGCTTTAGACTTACTGTCGATTGCCTGAAAAATACTTAGTCATGAATGCTTTTCTGAGTCAAAACTTGAATAATTGACCGCAGAACTGTGCAGAGTGGATGGCAGAATGAATCACATTTTGCACATTTGAAAAGAAAGTTACAGTAATTTAATGCTTTCATTCCTTCAATGCTAAGAAGTCCAGGAGAAAAAGCAGGTCTTAAAGTTCAAGGAAGTTTCTCTGTCGACGTTGACGAAACAAGTTCCGTTCGTTTCTGGTTTCGTGTTGTTGACGAGCAGAACTGCGTGGAGTTTTTGACTTCGGTGTTGTGTTGAATCAGTCCTCTAATTTTTTTCGAGGATGTATACTGTACAGTTGGTATACCCCGCAATTCAACCCAATTCTGCTGCCAGAGGCTAGGGTCAAAATGTGAAACAGTCAAATTGCAATTCAATGTTTTCTACATTGAATTTGACATTTTGAGTCTCTCTAATGGCCGAATTGCGGGGCAGAGGTCAAATTGCAAGTCATTATAATGCCTCAGCAAATTCAACCACTAAATGGTGGGACATCAAATTGCAAATAAGGTACCACCTGGTTTGCATATTTGCTTATACAGTATTATAAGCACCCCCTGACGTTTGTTCAAAATATTGGACTTTTCTTCCAGCATTTAATAAAGACTGGCATTCATTTACACTAGTCAATACTGCAGGAGAAGAGCAACAGAAAACTCAAAGGAAAAAAGGGAAAAACTGATGTGAAAACCCTTTTCATGGCAACTTTATTGGGGAAAATGAGATAGGAATGCTTTAAGAATTAATTTCTTCAGCACTTGACGCATGTGTATAAAACATTTTTTGGATTAAAAGAATCATCAGAATTCTCAAATCCCACACACCAGGTGCAACATAATCTTTTGCCTAGATTTTGCAGAAAATAGGTGCAAGCGGTAATACTTGCATACTGTATTTACTTGAGTACCAGCACATGCATCCTCAAATAAGGTGCATACCAGGATTTTTGAGTCAAATTTTTCAAGAAATAAAAGTATATTACAAAGTAAGACCTGCACTCCATTTTAATGACTATAAAATTGCAGTATTTTAAAAATAAGAACACCCAACTTTAAATTCAGACATCAATTGATCTTGAACTCAGCTAATGTTCAAATATTTCTGTCAAAAACAAAATGTTTCTGCTAAAATTGTTCAACATTTTCCAATGGCATAAAATTTAATGCACAGCTAAACTTTTAAATAAAAAAAATGTATGCCCTCCTCAGATGCACACCCCCTTTTTTTTCTTCGCAATTTTTAGAAAAAAGGTAGACTGATCGAGTGATATACTTGCGTAAATAAGGTATGTACTGACATATGAGTGTAATGCAAACTCCTGAGGCGTCGCCCACTTTAGGCACTAATCCTCCAACTTATACTCGGGCCTACCCAGGCTGCCCAGCCCAGATTAGACTGTGTGCGGCAGCTAGACGCCCAGCTCGCGTCGGTCGTCAGCGAACGTCGGGTATCCGCGGAACCCTTCCGGCTTCCGCAGCCGAGCGGATATCCGCTCTCCCACCCCGTCGGGCGACCCGAAATTGCAGTCGATATCCGCCACTGTTCATGCGAAAAACATGCATGCATATATATATATACGCCACGCGGAAATGTCAAACGTAGCTTTCCCAACAAATCTCGCATCATCCCAATAATACTGCGGGCTTTAGTGTTTCTTTTTCTTCTTCCCCGGAAATATCAACCAAGTCAAATTTCCACTGGATTTACGGGTCGAAAAAAATATTTGAAAATTCTCGGGAAAATACAAAAGAAAAATACCCCTGCGAAGAAAAAAAATAAAAATAAACTAAGCATGATTTCCAGGGCTAAAATCTTTGTATTATATATAATGTCTAAAAAACAAGAATATATTCTATAGCCGAAAAAAAACTAAAAATGTCAAAACGTGTATCACCCAGCCTAATTTCAAATTCCTCCTCAACGTAATTTTTACATATAAACTTCAATTTTTTCAAAACGTGTACAGTATTTATTAACCCAGAACATCAAATTCGTCAGTCTACTTTAAATTGCCTTCGCGATATAATTTTTTTATCTCGAACCCACTGATGCATAGAACATAAAAAATTGTATCGAAAATAATTTAGAATCATGGAATTTATTTTTGACGATATTTGGTAGACGAAAAATCCGTCAGAAGAACAAAAGGCATTCATCATCGTATATTTACATGATGGTCAACATTTTTCACGGAAATATACGATCTTTGATTTAAATATTATCAGAAGAAAGCCTTTCATTTTATGCAAGCACAATTAACTCGAGTGTCATCCTTCATCGTCATATGTCACGGAAATTCTTGCAGAAAGGCGGAGTGAACCAGGCAAAACTCATTAACTGTGCCGTAAACAGACGATGCTCGATCTGATATCTCTTGTTTGAGCGAACTTGCAAAAACTTCCGCAGTACCAACAGGAAAAGTTTCAGCAGCAACAGCACTGTTTCCTGTTCATGTTTGAATAACTGATTGAAAATGCCTCCTTCAAGTTCCCGACGTTGCAAAATTCTTCCTCGAAACGCCATGAAGTTTTTTTTTCATTTCTTAAATATATGACAGAGTACCAAGAATTTTTCTGTCTGGCCGGAAATAAAAGTCGCAAAAAAATAATAATTCAGATGAATCCAGAGAAAAGTTACACAAAGAGTTATTTTTTTTCTGTCGAGAAGGAAGATTAATTCTCAGCTCGACCTCAACTTCCACTCGCACTGATAACGTTTCGCTTGTTCCAAGTACCAAGCATTAATCCATCAACGATTCTGCATTTTCTTTTACGCGTAGGCGGAAAGGAAACTTTCTGCAGATTTATCTCGGTTGCCATATATTGCTGCCACTCAAATCAAACGGCATAGAACTGAATATAGTATGAACGGAAATTGCGGGCACTTTCATTTATGGCATGAGGGGCAAAGATGGATGATCCGCATGTTCTTGCATCGGGCATATTACAGGAAAGTATTCCTATTTTAAGAATACAATGAAGGAAATCGTTCAGGCGCAACATTTAGAAAAAGTGATTTTATGCGCTGGGTTCATACAATCACGACTAATCTTGTGAAAAAGCTCGCAAGTTTTTATGAAAATGTTTTTAATCTCTTCGGGTCGAGTTTTTTTTTTTTAGATTTTACGTTTACTTCCGGAAAACATGTTTTCGATATTATTCTTCAGACAAGATTAAATCTGTAAACAAGCTCAGTGATTCGATATTGCAAGAAAACTCAAAATTTATGTATGCGACGAATGAAGTACAAGAGTGCTCATTAATTGACATTTGTTGAGTACTCGTTCTGTGTTTTCAAGCCAGAGTAAAAGTACAGGATCAATAACAACACCTAAAGCAATTAAATGTGCACGAAGTGAAATGTTTTCATAGAAAGCCACCTGGAATTCAATTTTTTGCTCCGCAATTTACATTTCAAGAAATATTTCAGAACACTTTTATCAGCGGCGCGAAAACGGTTCAAATAATGATTTCATTGTGCATGATCATAAAATCTAGGAAACTGTTGCTAGGGATTTTTTTTAACTTTAAGAATCCATCATAGATTTTAAACTGCTTTAAATTCATCATGAAACACAAATATGACGTGTAAAGCTGACTTCCTCATTACGATGCCAAGTGTCATCTTTCCACGTAAATCCGGAGTAGTAAAAATTGAAAAAAGGATCCTGAAATCCGTAAATATTTAGTTCAAGAGACTTTATCAAGGCTGGAATAATACTGATATAACTTATGAAACAACCCCTGCACCCTAATCTACGAAGTCCATCACAATACCCCTTTATTGAGGAAATGAGGTCGAAACGTATTGATGCGGATGGATCGGAAAACCCCATGTGAGATAGAAAATAATTCCAGAGATTCGGATACCGGAAGTTGAAGTGATGGGTACTGACCTTCGTAATCTTGTGCTGCTACAGCCGAGATGAGCACCTATATAGGGAAAAGAAAAGAGAAAAACACACAGAATAATGATCAATTTTTAAGAAACCAAACATAAATATGATGAAAAAAAAAGACATGTCGCTCGGGTTTCGAACAGAGCGACTTCATGGATAACAGTTCTATTTTTTTTTTGAAGGGAACTGAAAGACTGTTCTCTTCTATTATTTCTGGTAGATTTTTGCTCGATTTCCTTCAAATAACAGACAATGATCAATTTTTCAGAAATCAGACAATTGAGGCAAAAGGTGAGGAATATTCGCAAAAGTGACAAGTTTAAAATGGGCGA